GGGACACAGTTCAGTCTATAACGAGTGGGGAAGCTCGGCTCCCTGAGATCTGTCCCATTCATCCGCTTGGTGAGCGCTCACACCTGCCATCCTGGCCCCTGGGAAGCGGCTGGGACTCGGGTGGAGGAGAGGGGCCTCCCGGATCCTTGAGGTGAGGGGGTGACAGTGCTTCTCGCTGTGCTGATGACACACCAGACAAAACCGGCAGGAGGAAGGCGCCGGCCCTTTCGTCCTGGACCCCGCAGACGCCGCCCTGAGCCACGGCATCGCCCTAAAGGGGCGGCGGCAGCATCCCAGGAGGCTGTAGTCCATTGACGCCGAGGTCGGGAGCCGGAAACAATCCACGCCAGACCGAAACACCACACGGGGGTCCCCGAGGACCTGAGCCGAGAAGAGGCAGGGAGTGAGCGCTGACAGAGCAGTGGGATGCTCTCTGACTCTCTGGGGCACCTGGGCCTCCCGCAGCCTCGGTGGCCACTGGACTCACCCTCTGTGACCCAGTGTGGTCAGCTGCCGGGTGAGGCTGTAATACACTCCCGTCCGATCAGAGGGCCCTGAAAGGTGCGGCCTGACCCCCAGGTCACTGACCCTCCCCGACCTTTCCCCGGCCAGCCCGGGAGGGGAGTGCCGTTTCCCCAGCATGCAAGGGTGCAGTTGCCGGAAGGAGTTTGTGGCCAGTTGGTCTGAGTAAGGGACACGAGGAGAGGCTGGGGAAACCACTGCATTAAGTTCCCAAGTCCTTGTGGCTCAACGTGGCTGGGAACCACCACCAGACGCCCCCCGAGGCTCGCCCATTCACTGAGCTGCTGTCTCTGGTACAGGGCGGACAGGGCCTCCCAACACCCATGCTCATCCTCTGCGGGGTCACTAGCACGACAGAGTGGCCCCCGCACAGCTGCAAGGACTGGCCAGCAGAGCCAGCTGCCACACACGAGACAGCAGTTTGGACGAGACGGAGCCACGTGAGCCCAGCCCTCGAGACGGGAAGGACCAGCTGTGCCCACCAGGGCACTGGAGGATGGGTGGGGTGAGCTTGCCTCGAGCGTGAGGACCCACGTCCCACAGAGAAGCACGGCATGAGCAAACTGCCCGATCACGGGCAACTCAGGGCCCATCGGCCGAGTTCTTAAGGACCACGCGTGTTTGGGGAGGGCTTTCTGCCTTCCTTGATCAGAAGCAGGTGGTTTGCGTCCAGACTGGTCTTGGTGTCTCTGCTTCCTCTTCCAGCCCCTTGCTGGTAGGCTGGCGTCTCCTTCTTCTCTTTAGATGCATCGTCCCACGCGGGTCCAGGTGGGCCCAGCTCTGGCCACTCCAGTCCCGAGGCCGCCTGAGGTTACTGAACCCTAAGCAGCCCCCGGGGCCTGGGCACATCGGTGGGGTGTCTCCTGGCAGTCAGTGTGGTACAAGCCTGGGGTCTGCAGCAGAGATGCTCCCCAGCTGAGGCTCAGCCGGCAGCTCCCCTGAGACTGCGGTGACGGTCCCAACCGAAATGCCAGCGATTTCTCTGATGCGTTGTTGCCTTCCTTTGGAGGAAAATCTAAATTTACTGGGAAAAGTATGTTCCACTGCCTCCCGGGTGTGACGGGGCGGCCTGTGGGGAGACAGCATGGCTTCAGAGCCCCGGGCAGCAGCCCTCCACGGCCTCGTGAAAACACAGCTGTGTGGTTCTGGCCCACAAGCTGACCAGAAGGGATGCGCTCAGCGTGTGACCAGCAGCCTGTTGTTCCCGCACCCAGCCCGCTCCAGGGGCCTGGCCAGCCCCGCGTCCTCACCGGCCCCCTCCTCCCGCAGCTCTTCCCTGCACAGGTGCCCCTGGAACGGGCCTTCTTGTCGAAGTCTGGGACTCAGTCCCGATGTCACCTCCTGGGACAGGCCCTCCCTGACCCCTGGGGCCAGAGCACCATCCACGAAGCGTGGTCCTGTGAAGGCAATGCCCAGAGGTCGGGTGGATGGTCACCCCCATGTCTGCAGCTGCTTTGAGATGGGCTGAGTCCGGGCTGAGTACTTCCTGCTGGGACCGTCCCCATCTGCACACCTGGAAACTGAGGCTTAGCGACGAGGCAGTGCTGGCTCACAGCAGAAGCCTGGCGACACCAAGGCCTTAACCACCTGCGGCTCCGCGGCCCATGGTGGCTGCCAGGCCCGTCACAGCCCTCGCCGGTGGCAAATCCACCTGGACTGGCCCCTCTGAAGGAATGGCTAGAGTTGGCCTGCGAGCCACTGACACTGAGGATCTCACCCCTCGAAGACTCCACGCGGGAGTGGGCTTACGTTACCAGAGTGGAAAATGCCAGGGGTCATGGGACTGTTGGCAGATGGCCAACAGAAGAGCCCAGCACTGAGAGCGCCCCTGGGAGACCAAGCTGTGACCCATAAACCCAGGTTGGCCTGAGTGCTCCCACAGACAGCAGCCCCCTGTGAGCCCAGTGGTGGGGACGGAGGGCGCTGGGCTGGGACGTGGCTGCTGGTTTCACCGAGGAGGGCTGCCCTGTGGCACGTAACACACTCACACATGCGCACACACCTCTCCCCTGCCCTGGGGCATCGTCCTCCTGTCTGTCCTGTCCCCGCCCCCCTGCCATCTCAGCGTAGTGGCCGCAGGGAGTCTGCTGTGTTCACCGCAGAACGCCGGGGCCTCGCCCGCGGTGCTCAGAAATGGTTATGGAACAAATGGACGAGAGAGCGCGTGATGGACGAGGGAGCGCGCGATGGACGAGGGAGCGCGCGATGGACGAGAGAGAGCGCGTGATGGACGAGAGCGCGCGTGATGGACGGGCGGGCGGGTGACGGGCGGGCGAGCGAATGAGCAGGGCCTGGACCCCAGTCCTCTCCATGCTGCTGTGGAAAGACTTGAATGACAGAGTAAACATCATGCGGATGAAGAAAAGACAACCTTATTGAGGTGGCAAATAATTTGACATATCAAATGAAGACAAACACCCTGGAAAATGAAAATGACTAACCGCCTATACACAGAGAAGGAGGGTGAGCGCCGGGGAAACGGCTCAGCCTGTACCCACCGCAGTGGTTCGAGCCCAGCCCCTCCGGTGTCCGCAGCTAGAAGGCCACCTGCCTCCTCCCGCTGCCCCGGACCCGACCTCCGGAGATCAGGACAAAGATGCCGTCGGCCCGGGGACCTGGGGAAACCGAGGCAGGACGGCGTTCCCATGCACAGCCCCTCTGGTGCTGCGTTCGGGGCCGGGTGTTTTCCTTCGCCTGGTAGCCGTAACACTCAGACAAATTAGTTTGGAGGTTTTGTTTGTTTTTTAAAATTATATTTGCTTAGACTTTATGAGCTGAAATGGCTTGACATTTTCTTAAGAAACTTACATGTGGCAGCAGGAAAGAGACGTGATCTCATCCTCAGTAGCAGAGAAGCTTCCGGGGCCTTCCTGCCCGCGGTCGTCTGTCTCGCCAGGTGTGAGGGAGTGAGGTGGGCGGTGGCGGTGGGCGGTGGGCGGGACACCGGGTGGACACTGGCGGAGCAAAGGGTGGAGCCTCGCTCAGGGCTGGGCCCACAGCTCCCGTCGGGGTGGCCGGTGTGCGGTGCTCTCCGTAGCTTTGTGCCTGTCGGGAGACCTAGCACCTGTGACGTGGGGACGATCACAGCTGGCCAGGGCCCATTTCAGCGGCGGGAGGGGGGCAGCTGCCGCTGCTGCTGGTGCCCAGGGTCTGTAGCTGGCCGCTGCCCCGGATGACGCCGGGTGAGTTTCCTCACTGTTGCTGGTCCCGTGCGTGGTAGTCAGCACTCGCACCTACCAAGATGTCACTATGCTAAAGTGCTTCGCCACACTGGCTGCTTGCCCAGCTGTGCCTGGAAGCCACAGAGCGGCTGCTGGACGTCCACCTGCAGACGCCGGGCGACCCCGGCTCTGCAGCGCCTGACACACAGGGTGCCGAGTGCAGGGCCCGGACTCGGGGAGTCTTCGCTCTCCCAGGGCCCAGCAGTGCGCCTTCGGGCGTCACTCACCCTCGACGTCCTGTTTCCTTTCGGCAAAACGGGAGCTTCGTACGTCCTTCCGGGACCTGTGAGGATTAATGAGACACAGCCTGGTGTGTCAGAGCACGCGCCAGTCCCTCCCCCGTTCCCGTCCTGACCCCCATCCTTCCCAAGGAACCCCTGGAGCCATGGGAAGTGGACAGGACATGGGGGAGGGCCCGAGCCCCAGCTCGTCACTGCCTCTGTTTGTCCATCGTCCCTCTGTCTGTGTTCATCTCCTGGGCCCGTGCAGCAATGACGCACGCCGGGGCTCACAGCGACAGGAATGTGTTCTCCCAGGGTGGCGGAGGCCAGAGGCCCAAATCAAGGTGTCCCAGGCAGGGCTTCCCTGTCTTCACGGGGCCTTGCTCCCTGTGTGTCTGGTTCAGACCCCCCTCTGCCTCTCCTGTTCAGACACCGGCATTGCGTTTAGCCCCCCGTCGTGGGTGCCCTCCCCGCCTTGACACCCTTAACTACTTCTGCAAGGACCCCTTTTCCAAATAAGGTCACGTTCACAGGTGCCAGAGTTAGGATGTGGACATGGCTTTGGGGGGCACAATTCACCCCACCGCACTGTCCCTTCTGGGCAGCCACCCTGGGACCTGAACCCGCTCGAGATGGGGGAACAGTGGAGGGTGGTGGGGAAGGGGAAGGTGGGCCCAGGGTGGTCAGGAAGGGTCATGGGGTCGCTGGGAGCGAGGAGGAGGGGGAGCCGGGCACTCTGCTTACGGCCCACACCTGGCAGACGATTCTCGAGAAAACGGCTTCGATGAGGTGTTCATAGACAGTGTGATCGCAGCAGGTGCCTCCAGGAAGCTGGTCTGATTGTGGGTCCCTGTTTCTCTTCCAAGATGAAAGTGCACTGTCAATTACGTTATAAAATCAGACCATGGGAGAAATCGGAGCTGCCCATTTTCCAATCTGCAGGGCGAAGGGAAATAGATACATATTTGTTGTCCTTGCGGTTTTGCTTAATCCGCCACTCTCTCCTCTTGTCCGCTCTGCCGCTGTCCTGCCGCAGGCCATGTTCGAGCTGGTCACTTCCGAGGCCTCCTACTACAAGAGCCTGAGCCTGCTGGTGTCCCACTTCATGGAGAACGAGCGGCTGAAGAAGCTCCTGCACCCGTCCGAGGCGCACACCCTCTTCTCCAACGTCCTGGACGTGCTGGCCGTCAGCGAGCGGTGAGCCGCCGGCTCCGTGGCCGGCTCCCGGGCAGGGCGCCTGCTCGCCCCTCAGGCTTCTCCGCTTGCTAGGTTTGGGGGTTTCCGCGATAAGAACGGAATAGACACATAAACCCCAAACCTGCCTCCGTCCCGGCAGGGCGGCCAGTCACGTCCCCCTGGACAGGTCGTGGCTGCAAGTCCCTTCCCGGGAGCACAAGTGTCCCGCACAGTCAGGTGGTGTGGCTGGTGTCCTGACGGGTCCTGGGGCATCCGTGTAGGCTGTTCTTCGTCCTGATACAGTCCTAGCACCCTGGCCCGTGCGTGCAGGGTCTGAGAGCCTCTGGGGCCTTGTCCCCGCCATGGGGGGTCTGCCAGCGTGTGGCAGTGCTCAGAGCTGTGCTTCTGTCTGGTCCCCTGAGAGGCTGGTGGGCTCAGGGGAGCACAGACATCCATTAACCGAGTCTTCCAAAGGAGAAGCGGACCCCGATCGTGGCGTTAGGGCAAAAAGAGCCCCTCACCCTTTCACTGTGGGCCGCGGGGTTTTACAGCCAACAGCGCAGAACTCGGCTTTCGGGTCACGTGGCCCACCACCAGTGCTCAGATGTGAAACCCAGCATGGCAGAGCCGCTGGCTCTCCGTGGGCCCCTCCGAGCGGGTCCCCCCCCCCGAACCCGAGCCCATCCGCAGTGGGCTCGGGAGAGCGGCAGCCCTGAGACCAGAGCAGCCATGAGACCCCTCGGCCTCTGCTGCTTCACCCTCGCTGGGAAGAGAGGTGTCTTTATTGATGTATCTGTTAATGTTTTATTAGGGAAAATTCCAAACACGTGGACTAGACACACCCGTGTAGCGACCCACGCTCAGCATCTAGGCTCAGCTATGTCCCCACCCTCCCCCAACGCCCACGGGATCGCTCGGACACAAATCTTGGACATCATTTCCTTTCGTCTGTGGACCTATCAGTGTATATCTAAAAGATCAGGGCTCTCTCACTTTAAAAAATAGTCCTAATGCTATTCCCACCTTAAGAGAAGGGAACAATAATTCCTTGCTGAGACCAGATATCCCACCAGCACTGGGACCTCATCTTACGTGTGCAGGTCCGTCCGAGAGGGACTCGCTAGCGCAGATGGTCTCGAGTCCGCACCCGGGCGCCCTAACCCCGCCGCCACCTTTGCAGCTTCCTCCTGGAGCTGGAGCGCCGGCTGGAGGAGAACATTGTCATCTCGGACGTGTGTGACATCGTGTACCATTACGCGGCCAACCACTTCTCGGTCTACATCACCTACGTCAGCAACCAGACCTACCAGGAGCGGACCTACAAACAACTGCTGTGAGTTCGCCTTCATGGGGACACTGAGTCAGGTCCTCGGACCTCGGCTCTTCCGGGATACTACCCAAGCCTGGCACGTTCCAGGGGGCTCCATGTCCCTAGAGAAACGCTGATCCTGAGACGGTCAGCCATGGCACCCTCTGGACCTGTGCACCCAGCTGAGCTCTGTGAGGTCTAGAAAGGGGAGTTCGAGGCCAAGGGACAGCTGGAGGCAGGCACGTGGTTTGAACCAGAGACAAAACAAGGGGGGGAGGGGTGTCTTTGCTGGGCGTTGCCCAGCAATGCCCTTGAGTTTCTTGCTAATCTGCCCATTGAGTGAACTTTCTTGGGATTTCAGGTGACAAGATAATTTTTCAGGCAACTTGCCTCTTGAATCCTTTGCATTTCTGTGCCGGGCGTCATGACAGTGTGACCAGTGATGTGTTCTTAGCTGGACACTGACTTCACTGGGCCCTTCCGTCACACTGTCATCCACTGTGGCTGTTTTAGAGCTGGCGTGTATTCAGGGGGTGGGTGTTTTGCATTTGGGGTTTGGGATCGGAGGGAATTGGGAAGCCGGCTTTGAGGACAGACATCGAGAAGGCAGGCAGACAGGAGAACAGAAATCTAGAAATTGCAGCGCACACGGGTGCACTGGTTAGCTGTGGGTGCAGGGGCCCGAGGACGGAGCAGGGTGCCGTGTCCCTGCTGACGTCAGGGTCTGTGTCTAACTCCAGCGGCAGTTTCCCGGTGCCCCGTCAGCCCAGCCCGTCTACAGGCGCAGCGCCCCCATCTGGCAGGAGGAGCACAGGCTCCCCGCAGTTGTCCCAGCTGCTGCCTGTTCCCGTCACTGGTGGGTTTACCTGCCGCGGCTCCTGCTGGGTCACCAGCACGTGGGCTGGGCGTCTGATCCGCGGACTTGGCCACACGGGGCATGCCCTCCCACACACGGCATATTTGGCCACGTCTTCGTGGGCCAGGCATGCGAAGTCACTATTGAATAGTTTATTTCCATTAAAATAAAGAAAGAAATCAACCCGCGTTCGGTGCCCGTGGCTGTCTGGTTCCTGCCAGGCTGTGGGTGGGGAGCCAGAGACCAGCTCCCGAGTCTTTGTCCGCAGCCAGGAGAAGGCGGCCTTTCGGGAGCTGATCACGCAGCTGGAGCTCGACCCCAAGTGCAGGGGGCTGCCCCTCTCCTCCTTCCTCATCCTGCCTTTCCAGAGGGTCACTCGCCTCAAGCTGCTGGTCCAGGTATGGTTCTCCCCCCGCCTGGCACACCTGGCTCGTGTGTACTTCTCCTGCCAGACACCTGTTTCCCTCGGGTGTTCGGCCTCCGCCAGTCTTCTAGGAAATCTGTCTGTTCCACAAACCCTAATTCAGCTCCTACCGTGTGCCGAGCGGGGGGGCTCACTTCTTCCAGGGAGCCACACTTAGGCAGGGAGGGAGCAACAAGCACACACTCAGGAAGTGGTCATGGCTGAGAGGACTGTGAAACTGGGTAACATAATAGGGGTGCTTCCTGGCCACTGCCAGCTGGGGGAGGGTCAGGAAAGAGTCTCGGATGAGTGACACTGAAGCTGAGACGTGGCTGACAGGCAGGAGCCATTCAGGTGACAGAATCGCTTGTGCAAAGGCCCTGGGGCAGCCAGGTGCACAGAGGAAGGCCAGTGATGAGCTGGGGGAATGTGACAGGAGTGAGTGTGGAGATGTAGGCAGAGGCCGATCGGGGGCTCTAAGAGGCCAGGTAGGACACTGGGTTCTGTCCTCAGTGTGACAGGGATTCACCTAATCTAGTTGACGTTTGTCAGAGCACACAGAGGTCACCGTGTGGAGAGCGGTGGGCAGGAGTGAACATGGGAGAAAGGATTAGGAGGCGGTTAGAAAAACAAAGATGTCATGACCAGCATGGAGGGTGGAGGGTGGAAGGAAATCCGTGGATTGAGCCTCGGACTTGCTTCTGTGCAGTAAGAAGGAAGGGGAGACTCTTCTAGTTTGAGCAGCTCCCCAAGGTGGGGACGACGGTGAGGGAGCAGCCCGGGTGGGTGCTGAACTCGCTGAGTTTGAGATGACTTTGAGCAGTGGAATATTCAGGTCGAGAGTCAAAGGGAGAAGGAGGGGCCGGAGCGTTCAGCACGGAGATGGCATTTAATAGTGGGACCACCAAGGAGGGACAGAGAGGGGTCCCGGCACGCAGCGCTGGGACACACATGCCCAGGAGGAACTGAGGCAGCCAGTGTGCAGACCCGTGCACCTGGCTGAGGAGTCTGAGGCCCGGAGCAGGCGCTGATGGGGCGGGCGTTCTATTCCAATGGGAAAAGGTAGAGCCTGGCCGTGCTGGTTGGGTGAGGGGAGCATTAGGGACAGGGTCTGGTGGCCATGTTGGTGAGGGTGCGAGGAGGCTTCTGGGATGACTGTGGTCTCCTGCCTGGCTGTGGGCAGAGGCGGGCAGGTACCCACGGGAGGCCGGGCAGCTGCGGGATGTCGGAGGTGGCAGGGATCTAGGTCCCGTCTGGTCTCAGGAGAGAGGCCGAGCATTGTGTGAAGAAGGCGTCCCGCCATCCAGGTGTGTCCAGCGCGGAGTGGTCGTCAGCGGTGTTCGGCAGTCAGTGCACAGGGCAGCTGGCGGGAGGAGGTCTGTGCTCAGACGCCCTCAGACCCCCTTAGGGCCGAGCTGATCAAAAAGTATGGGCGGAGTGAGGACTGGAGGCAGACACCAAGTCCGGGGAGCAGTACAACTGTAATCTATCGGTAAAGGCAACATGAGCATCATTTTTTGATAATTCAGGAAAAATTTAGTTAGAAAACAGATATTTTGATCAATAAGACCACAGTTCACAAAGTCTGGGGTTGATTGCGCCTCGGCTTCCAATGGCAATCCCGGCGGAGGGGGAAGGGAAGCCCCTGGCGCCTGTCATGAGCACCGAGCTCCGGTCCCTCCCTGCGGGACCCTGCCCTCCCACCGCACCTGGTCGCATCCTTTGCTTTGATGTGCCTTGTGTAGCGAGTGCCAGGCTCTGGCCCGGCCCTCAGGGTTACTCCTTGTGGGAGACTGACCCGTTTAGAGCCAGGCAAAGCTTTGGGTCCGGATGCTCGGCCCTCGCTGCAAGTTCTCCCGCCCTCTGTTGTCACCTGGTAGGGCTCTTTGTCCGTGGGTGTCGCAACAAGAGGCTGTTCGAACTGGTGCAGCAAGGGGGCCACCACTGCAAAGTGTGGGGGAGCGGGGTGGGGGGTGATGGCCGTAATGAAAATTCACACAGACTCTCCCTGTGCTCAGAACATCCTGAAGAGGGTGGAGGAGCGGTCAGAGCGCGAATGCACCGCCTTGGAAGCCCACCGGGAGCTGGAACTGGTGCGTCTGCGTCCTCTCTGTCCTTCCCGTAAACTGCTTCCTCGCCTACCCCTGCCCTCCTGGTCCTGCTCCCTCACGTCAGTGTGTCTGTGGAAAATGTAAACCGGTTTTAGTATTTGCTTTTGCAATCCAGAAGAGTCACTGGGTCCAAAGAACAGGCCGGGCGTGTCCTGAGCAGAGCAGCTGTCTTCCTCCTCCAGCCCTACGTGTGGGGTGGTCCCACAGCAGCCCAGCTCTCCCCGCCCGTGTTGACCTCTGCTGCCACCCACAGGCCCAGCGTGTCTCCTCAGCTGCCCATGCAAACAGCCTGGCCCTTGGAGGCCCCACACTTGTCTGTTTCTGATGTCTGCCCTCCTGTGACTCTCAGAGGCTGGTCCGGATCTCTCGAGCCTGGTGTAGCTCTGCCCCGAGCCCCTGCCTCCAGGCTGCCCCATGCCCCTCCCAGCTCTCCTGTCTCTGCCGGAGGACTCAGGCCCTCCCGGCCCCCGCCGTTCCTGCCCAGGCGTGGAGAACCATCTCTGCTCCTGACCCTGGAGAAGTGGCCCCCAGAGTGGAGGTTTGGGTGGGCTCCAGTGTGTCTGGTCTCCAGGGCTGGGCTCACGTGGCTCCGTCTCGTCCAAACTGCTGTCTCGTGTGTGGCAGCTGGCTCTGCGAGCCAGTCCTTGCAGCTGTGCGGGGCCACTCTGTCGTGCTAGTGACCCCGCAGAGGATGAGCACGGGTGTTGGGAGGCCCTGTCCGCCCTGTACCGGAGACAGCAGCTCAGTGAATGGGCGAGCCTCGGGGGGCGTCGGGTGGTGGTTCCCAGCCACGTTGAGCCACAAGGACTTGGGAACTTAATGCAGTGGTTTCCCCAGCCTCTCCTCGTGTCCTTTACTCAGACCAACTAGCCACCAAACGCCTTCCGGCAACTGCACCCTTGCATGCTGGGGAAACGGCACTCCCCTCCCAGGCTGGCGGGGGAAAGGTCGGGGAGGGTCAGTGACCTAGGGGTCAGGCCGTATCTTTCATGGCCCTCTACTCACCCCTCGAACTTACATACCTGATCGGACGAGAGTGTATTACAGCCTCACCCGGCAGCTGACCACACTGGGTCACAGAGGGTGAGCCCAGTGGCCACCAAGGCTGCGAGAGGCCCAGGTGCCCCAGGGGGCCTCCCTGCAGCCAGAGAGCATTTCTGCAGCTTCTGTTCTGCTGTCCACTCCCTTCCCTGTCCTCGTCATGGAAGGTGTGCTCCCATTGCTCAGAGATCATTTTTTACAAAGATTTTTTTTTTTCCAATTTATAAAAGCGATTGATGCTCAATACAAAAAAAGTCAGACAGTGCTCGTAAGTAAGAGGCACAGACGACGCCAGGTACTCCACAGCCACGCTCACGCGCTGGTGCTCGCCTTCCAGACCTCTTCCCCCACAGGCGCCTGCACCTGCAACTCTATTCTTTGCAAGAAGACATTGTGGCTTATAAGCCGGCCTGCTCTCCATTTAGGTGCGAGAAAACTTACTGCAGTTTTTAATGATTTTCAAATACTTGGTTATATAGATATACGAGCACTAATCAATCCCAGTCATTGGACATTTAGGTCGATGGTCTTTGGGCACCATCCTCATTCACAAATAGTGTCTGCTGGGTGTTGGGCTCTGTGCCGGGTCCCTGTGACCAGTGTGGAATATTTTTGTTTGTAATGAGTCCCCAGAAGTCTCAGGAAATGTGGTTTTATTAGGCGTCTTGGTATGTAGACTGCCTCCCAGGAAGGTAGGGGACCCTCACTGCCCCACAGTGTGTGACAGGGCTCAGTCCCCACTCCTCACCAACCTGGAGCCTTGTCACCTGTCTTTTCCAGTCTTATTGGTTAACTTGGTTTCTGACAGCCTGACAAGTTTCCCTGCTTTGCCTTTGTTCCAGAAGGTGCTGGAGGAGGGAGCTCCAGCCCGATGGAGACCGGCCGGTCAGTCTCAGCTGTGGGCACAGTGTCTGATCACAGCGATTGCTCAGCCCTCTGTGGCCGGAGTGGACAGAAGGACGTGACTAGGGACAGCTGGCTGCAGGTGGCCTGAGGTGCTCTCCTTTTTATCCCAGGTGGTAAAAGCATGTAACGAGGGCGTCAGGAAGATGAGCCGCACGGAGCAGATGATCAGCATCCAGAAGAAGATGGAATTTAAGATCAAGGTTAGCCGTGCCCCCTGGTGCCCCTGGAGCTGTGGTCACTATTGGGTCATGTGCAGTGTCACCTCCCCCGAGGCTATCCTTGACCCCCAGCTGGAGGGCGCCCCCCGGCCGATGGTCACCTGGCCTTCACCTTGGCCCTGCCTGTCCTCTGAGAGGCGGCGTCAGGACCCCGCAGCCCCGCCCTTCTGCGTGGGCTGTGTTCGCGTGAGCACCTGCCAAGGAGCACCCAGGGGTGCTTTCAGCGGGGAGATGTGAAACTGATGAGGCTGCCGACCTTCTTCCCCACTCACGTAGGGCTTCAGGCATGGACACGTGACACATGGTGTCCACCGAGGGTCCCTGTGGTTGTGCTGGTTTGGGTGCTGAGCCCCAGCCAAGGATGCAGACATGCCTTGTGACCCCTACATGACTTCACCAGCCAGGCTGACAGCCAGGTGCCAAGGAGAAGGGACCTCACACAACGCAGCTCTCTCCTCTCCCATGAACTTGGCCCCTCCTCTGATTCTGCATCCCCCGGGCCGCCTGGTGAGGGGATGATCACACACGCAGAGGTGCCCACACGAACACAGAGTTACACGTGTACAGACACAAACGGATATGTGTGCAACAGATAACACGCACGCACGCACCCCCTGCCCTCCCCCTGTTCCCGAGGACCCGCCCCTCCCTCCTGCCCGCACCGCCTGGGCCCTGGGCCCTGTGCGCCCTCGCACACGCCCCTCATTCGCATCACTCCAGTGAGGGCACGGGGAGCCTGGGGAGGGCGTGGGGCGCAGCCGTCCTGACTCCCCCCCACCCCCGCCCCGCCCAGTCAGTGCCCATCATCTCGCACTCCCGCTGGCTGCTGAAGCAGGGCGAGCTGCAGCAGATGTCAGGCCCCCGGACGTCCCGAACCCTGCGGACCAAGAAGCTCTTCCAGGAAGTTTACCTCTTCCTCTTCAATGACCTGCTGGTGATCTGCCGGCAGATCCCGGGGTGAGCTGGGCCCAGTGAGCTCCCTGTGGCCTGGGGGCGGCCGGCCGGCAGGAGGACTGGACAGCGCTCAGGCTTTCGGGCAGGTTTAAGGGCAGCTCCGCTCTTGTCCAGAGGGACAAGTTTAGGGCCCTGGGCTCAGTTTGCCGCCCAGGGCTATGGGGAGGCCAGCTCAGCACCCGACACAGCGAGCACTCAGCAGAGGGCTGCTCTGTCCTGTCACCCCGCGGGCCACACCATGGGAGGGGCCGCAGGGTGGGGCCGGGCACTCTGGCGGGTCCCCGGAGCCAGTGAGGCGTGGTCCTGGTGGGGCTGGTCCTGCTGGCTGGCCAAGGTGAGGTGTCCCCTGGGACCCCAGGTTTCCTCGGACCAACAGGCCTGCCCTGCCCCTTGGTGCGCAGTGACAAGTACCAGGTGTTCGACTCGGCCCCGCGGGGCCTGCTCCGAGTGGAGGAGCTGGAGGACCAGGGCCAGACGCTGGCCAACGTGTTCATCCTGCGGCTGCTGGAGAACGCGGACGACCGGGAGGCCACCTACATGCTGAAGGCGTCCTCTCAGTGCGTGCCGTGCGCCCCGCCCCGCCCCCCAGCTCGGGACTCGTCCCGCCCCGCCCCCAGCTCCGCGCCCCGCCCCGCCCCGCGCCCCACTCCGCCCCGCATCCCCTCCCCCCGCCCTGCGCCTCTCCCCCGCCCAGCTCCGGCGCCTCCTCCCTGCGCTCCGCAGCCCCTGCTCTCCGTGCCCCCTTCAGGGCTCAGCGCACAGCCCACCAGCTCCTGTTCTCCCCACCCCAGACTGTGGGGAGGGTTTCTGTGGGGGGTTAGTGTCCAGGTAGCACGCTGCTCTGTGTGTGTGTACACACGTATGTACACGTGTGTGTGTGTACACGCATGTTCCCTCAGGGCCTCTTCCAATGAGATGTTGTAGATCCCTCGGGCCAGGCTGACAGGTGACCCACCACGCTGTGTGTGGCCTTGGGCTCATCTGGTCGCTTCTCCGAGCAGCCGGGCTACCTGCCCTGCAGCCCCAGGGCTCGGAGAGGCATAGCCCAGATCAGTGGGCAGACACCCTCCCTCCCAGGGTCACAGGCGCCCATCGAGGCCCAGCCCCACTACTGGGGTAGGGATGGCCTTGGCCTTCCCCAGTGACAGTTTTTCACATTGAATTTATTGAGGTGACATTGATTCACAGAATCATACAGGTTTCAAGTGTATAACTCAGCAAAACATCATCTGCACACTGCATGGTGTGCCCACTGCCCCAAAGTCTCTTTCTGCCCCCATCCCCCTTTGCCCACCTCCACCTAGCCCCCACCCCCCTTGGCTAATCCCTTCACCCTCTCTCATCAGGCCCCTCCCGCCCCCCAGGGCTCACCTTCACCACCCGACTTTATGAAGTGCCCCAGGGAGATTCTGTCAGGCTCCCAGCCTCTCTGGGTACCCTGTCCTGCTGGAGCCCCGGGGAGGCTCAGGACCGACTAGTGGGCTTGCTGGGCACTGGGCACTGCACCTCGGTGGGGCCATTGCTCTGCAGTTGGGACATGTGTCCTCTTCCCTGTGCCAGGAGTGAGATGAAGCGCTGGATGACCTCTCTGGCCCCCAACCGGAGAACAAAGTTTGTTTCCTTCACATCCCGGCTGCTGGGTGAGTGGCCCTCTGGGACAAGGACACCTCTGGGCAGGACAGGTGAGGCCTGTGTGGCCTCCAGGATGCCCGGTTCGACTGCCGGATGGTCCATGTGCCAGCGGCTAGCTTAGTGCCCCATGGAGGACATCAGTGTGCTGAGCTCTGCAAACAGGATGGTTACTGAAGGAACAAGTCACTGGGTCCGAGTGACAGGCATCACAAGGAAGCCACGAGGAATCTGGGCCCAGAAGGCAGGCGCCGGTGTTCTTTGGGGTTGCCAGTTGTCTGAAAACCCTCCAAGATACGAAAGGGGGCCAGTCCGGCCGCCTGCTAGGGAGGCTGCCCCGCCGGCCAGTGCTCACAGGCCCCGAGCATCCTCCTGAAGCCTCGAACACGAGCCCTCATGGCCTGTTCACCCCTTTATGCGTGGACTGTTCTCCCCGAGTCCCCGGTTATTTCATCTTATTTCCTTTGGAGCCAGGCTCCCTCTCTCAAATGACCCCTTTTCGGGTGCTGCAGGGTAGGCAGCAGCGTCCTGCTAACCACAGGGCAGTGTCCAGGGTTTGCTGGGTAGGGGCAGGGTGGTGACCAATGATGAGGACATGCCACCTCCCTGCTCCCTTCAGACTGCCCCCAGGTCCAGTGTGTACACCCGTATGTGGCCCAGCAGCCAGACGAGCTGACGCTGGAGCTGGCGGACATCCTTAACATCCTGGACAAGACAGAAGATGGTAAGGCGGGCTGGGCGGCTCCCCCACCGTGCCCTGGACTCTGCGCCCCGCGCACCAGCCTGAGGAGGAGGCGGGCGGCTCAGCCCCAGGTGGAGAAGCTGCCTGATGGGCAGGCCAGCCCGAGCCCGGGCACATCTCCGCTGCCCTGGACCACTTCCTGGCTTTCCCTCAGCGCCGAGAAGATGCTTCTCCCAGGGCCCCTGCTCCCCTCCCCCAGACCCCTGAGGTCGCATCAGGCCTGCCCGAGCACGGGCTCTGTGCCTGCCCTCTGGCAGCCCTGCGCTTGGCCCCCATCCTCACCCTCACCCTGACCCTGACTCCAGACTCTATTAGCAACAAGCGTCCAGGTGAGCCTGTGAGCACCAGGCTCAGAGCCTCGTGTGGGCCAAGAAGCCACCCACCCAGCTCCCACCTGCGTGGTGACCGCATCAGGCCAGATAGGGTCACTCCCCTCCCCTGAGAAACGAATCCCTTATTCCTACATCAGCTGCTCTTCATCAGAATCCCCCAAACCGCACAGAGCCTCTCCCCTCCCCCAGCTTCTCCTCAGGCTGGTTACCCCAGCGATGGCCATTTCTACTGGTTCCAAATTCCAGGGTCTCACATGGCACTGGAAGAGCTGTGCCCCCACCATGTGGAATAAAACAGCCAAATCCCTCCCACATGGCCCGCAGAGGGGGAGCCCCAGGCCCTCAGAGCCCAGGTCCTTGCCCTGCCCTGGGACCTGCCCAGGGACCCCGCACTGCAGGGTGATCTCCGGGGGAGGGAGAGAGAACCAGGGCACTTTGTGGTGTTGGCCAGTCCCTGACCCCGGCCCTCGGCCCTCGGGAGATTGAGGCTCAGAAAGGGGTGCCCATGAGAGGGCTCTGTGCCATTCCAGCTCAGTAACCACCAATCAGCCACCACACCCACCGGCTCTTGCTTTTGGGAGAGCCCTTGGGGTCTTCTGACCTCATGTGGGACAGCCTAAGATTACTGTGGGCTTGGGAGTGGGTTCCAAAGCCAGGACATTTGGGACGCACCGTGGCACAGAGCGTAGCTGGTTTCGTTACAGCCATTCGCACACACTGCTCCCTAGGAGGGCATCGGGGTGGCACCTCCCCAGCATATGGGGGGCAAACCCAATCGAAGGGTCTCCGGCAGGGTCTACAGAGCAGGCGCCTCTGGAAAGGCCCTCTGGACCCCTGTGTCTCCCTCCCTGTGCCAGGAGGGCTCAGCCAGGCCCCCGCGGGAGCTCTGACCCTCCCGCCCCTCCCCACACAGGGTGGATCTTTGGCGAGCGTCTGCATGACCAGGAGAGAGGCTGGTTCCCCAGCAGCACGGCTGAGGAGATCTTGAATCCCAAGATCCGGTCCCAGAACCTCAAGGAATGTTTCCGTGTGCACAAGATGGATGACCCCCAGCGCAGTCAGAATAAGGACCGCAGGAAGTTGGGCAGCCGAAATCGGCAATGACCCCCAGCCCCTGGCCCCCGGCCCCCGGCCCAGCAGGGGGATGTGGGCAGGCGGCAGCAGGGCCTGGCAGGCAAACCCACGAACCGAACCTGAGGGGCTCTGGGGGAAGGTGACCTTGTGCAGGAGTCATCCTGACTGCTCATCCCTGCCGCGTGGTGAATGCTCATGTGTCTTGGCCCCTTGCTTGCAAACCGGGAAACCAGTGCCCACATCTCCCTCTGATGCATTTGTAAATGAGAAAGTGTATTTTAAACAGTATTACACCCTCTCCCTCTTGTCTCTCAGAGGGGTGGAGGGGGTTGGCATGCTCCAGGGGCCTTCCCAGGCACTGCAAGAAGCCCCAGGCCCAGGGTGTTCCTGGTCGAGGGCAGGTGCAAAGGTGATGACTGTCATGACCCCCTGCACGTGACCTTTACTACCCTGGGAGCTATTAGAATCCACCAGGTGAGCAGATGGACTGCCCTTGCCCGGTGAGCTGGATGAGCGGCCCTTGATCTACAATTTATAAGACTGCCTCCGTCCACCTGTGCCAGCCTCTGGCTGCACGGCCAGGCCCTGCCTTGTGACAGGCCTGCCAGAGCTTGGCTGAGGGCCCACGCTGCCTCTGGCTCCCTGAAGGGCTGGATGGAACTTGTGTCTCTGGCCTCTCGAGGAGCCCAGGTATCGTAAGGAATGAACTGGTCACTGCATCCTGCATCAGTTATGGTTCCATGAAGCAAACACCATTTTTGGCTGCATTAAAAGAAGCATCATGTATACAATGAAAGAGGTGAAGTTCTACTCTTTATTGCCCTGCTGCACACAAGAATGAGGTGTTTGGTTCTGGGCAGGGGAGAGGTGTCCTCTTCAAGGTCAGTGGAGGAGGTATGTCCTACAGGGGAGGGTTGGGGGAACCTCGTGGAAAAGGGGCAGCCGAGGTCAGGGCCTCCACTTGTTCGAGAACTCCAGAAACAGAAAAGGATGTTTGAGGGGGCTAGAGACACCCTTCTGCTGCAGCGGAAGTGAGAACGTGGTTTGGAAGAACACGGGACTGAGTAAGTGGTGGTCCCACAGGGGATCTGACCACCAGGTATGGAGCTGGGGCTTCCTACGTGGCCAGTCACTGGCCGTGACCTCTTCTTCCACCTGGGGAGGTATTGCCAGAGGCTGCAGCTCCTCCCCCAGCCCAGTCGGCCCTCACAGCCACCTGCCATCACCACCCCCCTCCCCAGGTTGTGTGCCAGGCTGGAGTGTGGATGGGCCTGAATCTGACCCTGCCCAGCCCTGCCTGCTGGGACCATGCTCCCTGCCAGGACGCACTTTCCTCCACACAGAACAGGCCTTTGATCAGAGCCCAAGGTGTCAATCCAGGGGGACTTGGTAGCTGCTTCCCACAGGCCACAGCAGGCTCCTGGCATTCTTGAGGCCTGAGTCCTCTGAGAATTGTATGAATCCTGCAAGAGGCACCCCCAACATGTTCCCTCAACCGAGGAGGGAGCCCCGGTTCCAGCGAGGGCCTGGTGCTCTGTGCTACACCTGGGAGCCCCAGGGCTGAGCTCCTCCCTGCTGGAGGGCAGCCTTGGGACAGAGTGGCGGGCTGTTGGTCCTGGCCCTCACCCAGCTGGCTGTCTGACGCTGGGAAACAGCGTGCTGACTGGCTCCTCTGCTCTAACGAGGACTCTGGCGCTGGAGGTTATGTGAAATGAAGTCATTTACGCAGTTTCATAAACACTGGTCAGTTTCCTAAGCAGAAACTTGTAACGCAGGATGTGTTTGGGGAGAGCGTGGGCAGTGTGCTTGTCTGGAGCGCGGAGGAAGCGGCCTTCACCGGAGCAGGTGTGGCCAGGAGATCAGGGAACCAGGGGCCAATCCTGCCGAGCCGATGCGGGGAAGGAGCCGGAGCAGCTCCCACCACCGCGCCCGCCCGTTCGAGGTCCTCCCCGGCCCGGGTGCCTGCAGACTCCCCTCCAGTCCTCCCCAGCCCGGGTGCCTGCAGACAGCCCCTCCAGTCCTCCCCGGCCCGGGTGCCTGCAGACTCCCCTCCAGGCCTCCCCGGCCCCGGTGCCTGCAGACTCCCCCTCCAGCCCTCCCCGGCCCGGGTGCCTGCAGACTCCCCTCCAGTCCTCCCCGGCCAGGGTGCCTGCAGACTCCCCCTCCAGGCCTCCCCGGCCCGGGTGCCTGCAGACTCCCCTCCAGTCCTCCCCGGCCCGGGTGCCTGCAGACTCCCCTCCAGTCCTCCCCGGCCAGGGTGCCTGCAGACTCCCCTCCAGTCCTCCCCGGCCAGGGTGCCTGCAGACTCCCCCTCCAGGCCTCCCCGGCCCGGGTGCCTGCAGACTCCCCTCCAGTCCTCCCGGGCCGGGTGCCTGCAGACTCCCCCTCCAGTCCTCCCCGGCCCCGGGTGCCTGCAGACTCCCCCTCCAGCCCTCCCCGGCCCCGGGTGCCTGCAGACAGCCCCTCCAGTCCTCCCCGGCCCGGGTGCCTGCAGACTCCCCTCCAGGCCTCCTCGCTGCACGAGGCCCTCGCGGGCCGGGACAGGACGCGGCTCTGGCTTCTCCCTGCTGTGCCCAGGGCCAGGCAGCGCTATTTTAAATCTCTCTCAACGACAAACGTCGGCTTCCTGGGGGCGTGGAGGACGGAGCTGACCAAGGGCGGCAGCCAGGGCCAGCTGGGGAGCTGGGACTGCGGGGCGGGGGCTGGACCCCTCGGCTCGTCCAGCTCCTGGGGCTCCCTGGGGCGCCGGGGTCCCTGCAAGGGCTGCGCGGGCTCTCGGGCTGGCCGCGGGCCCGAAGTGGGGGACCAGCAGGGGGCGCCCCGGGCGCCGGGGATCCTGCTCCGCGCCGGGCACCCCGCTCCGCCCCGGCGGCTCCCGGCCACGTGCACACGCGCGCCGCCCTCTCCCGCCCCGCTCGCACACACTCACGCGCGGACACACTCGAGGCTCGGGGAGCGCGGCCCCTTTATTGCTTCAGGAGGCGGAGAACTTCCTCAGCGCGACCACCACGAGCGCCAGCACCACGCAGGTGGCCAGCAGGGCGGCGATGACGATGGCCGCGATGGCGCCGGGCCCCAGCGAGCCTGCGGGACGGACGCGTCAGCCGCCGCCGCCTGGTGCAGGCGCCCCCTCCGCCTGCCCCCCCTCCCCAGCCCGCCCCCCGACCCCCCTGACCCCCCCCACCGCCTACCGCCGCCCTGGTCCAGGCGCCCCCTCTGCCTGCCCCCTCCCCAGCCCGCCCCCCGACCCCCCTGACCCCCCCCACCGCCTACCGCCGCCTTGGTCCAGGCGCCCCCTCCGCCCGCCCCCTCCGCCCGCGGCCTAACGCCGCCTGGTCCAGGTGCTCGCCTCCCCCCCGCCCACCCCCCGACCCCCCTGACCCCCCCCCCCCGCCTACCGCCGTCCTGGTCCAGGCGCCCCCTCCACCCGCCGCCCGACCCCCCCAAATCCCCCCGCCCCCCGCCTACCACCGCCGCCCTGGTCCAGGCGCCCCCTCCGCCTGCCCCCCCTCCCCAGCCCGCCCCCCGACCCCCCTGACCCCCCCCACCGCCTACCGCCGCCCTGGTCCAGGCGCTCCCGCGCGGTGCTGTCCTCGGGGCTCGGCGGGGCGGTGGGCGCAGGGGCGCCGCTGGCCGCGGGCTCCCGGGCCGGGCTGGTGCTCTCCACCGGGCCTTCTCCCGACGGCAGGTCGGCGGGCTCGTTCCACAGGGTGGGCACGGGCTCCTGTGGGCCCTCGGCTGCAAGCCAAGGACAGGCGCTGGGGCCCAGGCTGCTGGCCCACGAGGTCTCCCCCCAGGGAGGTGGCGCTGTGTTTGGGGGCCCTGGGGCTCAGCACCACTCTAGCCTTCGCGTGTCATAGGTGAGGCAACCGAGGCTGAGAGGCCACGCGTGGTCCCAGAACCCCCCTGGGCCAGGCTGCCTCCAGGCCCAAGCGAAGACAGATCAGTGGGGGGAGGTACCAACAGTCTTAGAAAACTGCTGTGAGAACCCTGGACTGGCAGCAGATTAGGGGGCATGGGACAGGGCCCCTCCTGTCTCCCAGCAGAGTCCCCCATCTGAGCCTAGGGGCTCTGTAGGCCTGGGTAAGGTGACAGGTGGGGGACCCGCCACCCCAGAGCAGACCCAGTCAGCCTTCACCCTGGAGAAGAGGCCGGTAAGGTGGAGCACTGCCCACGCCCACCCCCATGAGGCCAGGGGGTGCCGTGCTGCAGGCTGTGGACAGTAGAGGTCACCCACACCCCAGGACAGCCAGCCCTGCCTCTCTTCCCTGACCTCACCTGGTGAAGACATGCGGCCCACAGGACACGGGTCCAGCACCCACACATGGCCCTGTGTGTCTGAGACTTAACGCCCAAGGTGGGCCTCTCTACCCTAAGGAACTGGGCCCAGTTGTTTCAGACAGAACAGGGCCAGAGGGGTGTCTGGGGTCTGTAAGGGAAGCCCCAGGAAAGGGTGGGTGCCCCCCCCCATACAAGCTGAGGTTCAATTAGCACGTCAGTCTTGGGACAGCCCTTTCTGCAGGGGCTTTTCTTTGCTCATGAGGGGTTAGCAAGGGTTTGGGGTTCTCAGGGGCCCCAGAGAACTGAAGGGACAAGATGTGCTAACCCCAGCCTCATCTCCCAGCTGGGCCCCAGGCAGTTCGTGTCAGTACCCTCCCCCTACCAAGGATCCTGGCGGGAGGAGCCCCACGGCACCACCCAGCCCTGGACCCATCCCCGGGACAGGAGGCCCCAGCCACCCAGTGGAGTTCAAGGCCAGGGCGGCAGGCAGGCTCCAGGCTCCAGGCTCCCGCTTGTGCCTGGTCCTGACTGTGACCCAGGGATGCTCTGGGAAGAAGCAAAGATACTCCCAGACCTTTCCTGCCAACAGTGCCCACCTGGGGCAAATCGTGAGAAACCTCGACCAAGCCCAAATTCAGGGTCATTCTCTGCCAACGGGGCTTTCCAAAATGTCAAGGTCGTGGAAGGCAAAGGAAGGTTGGGGAGTTGTTCCGGATTAGAGACCAAGGACGGATGACAACCAAACGCCGTGTGTTCCCGGATGGGGGCAGAGGGGCTGCTATAGGAGAGTTTGGGTCCACTGGTGAGCTTTGGGTAAGGCCACGGTTTAGGTAACAGTAGGGCATCCGCTTCGTTTCCTGCTTGGACAGCGGACTGGTTACGTGAGCGAATCCCTTGCTCTTGGGCATATTTAGGGGCAAAGCGGCATGTCTGCAGCTTACTCTGAAATGGTTGGGGCAGGCGGGAAGACAGAGCCAGTATGGCAAAATGTCGGAAACTGGTGACTCTAAGTGCCGACTCTACTGGTTACTGGATTATTCTTGCAACTTTTCTGTAAACGTCAAATCTTTTCACGATAGAAGTGTACAAGCCTCCCCAGCCCTGCCCCGCGGCCCCTCCAGGCCCGGGCTGGCTCGGCTCAGAGGCTCGGCTTGCAGGCAGGGCCCGCTGCCTCACTGCCCAAGGCTGCCCAAGCCGGTGCCTCTTCTCAGAAGACACCCTGGCAAGAAGGCCTCCAGGGGCAAAAGGCCCCAGCACCCAGAGGCGCAGGGGTGGGGGGCTTCCCTCCCCAGGCACAAGGCTCAACTACAGCACTGGGTCTGCGGCCACCCTGGCCCCCGTGTGAGGTTGTCCCTGTGAGGAGGGCAAAGTGACCCTGTCAGGCCTCCCTTGTGACCGCCCGGGAGGGCGGGGGCCGCAGCCTTTCCGCTGCCATGGAAGGCTCTAGGCCCCACGTATGCTGGCTTCAGGGTCCCAGGGCCTGAGCGTGCCCACAGCGTGGCAGGCCCTGAGGTCTAGGGCTCACAGACTGTCTGTCTCCCCAGATAAACGGAGAAACCACTGGCCCACATTTGTTCCCCACACACCCAAGACAGGGCGACAGGCAGGCACCACCCCGTCGCACCACTGCCAGCCAAAGCTCACCTCCGACTGCCGGGCACCTGGCCAGGGAGGCCGCCACGGGGCTCCTGAGAACCAGGCCCACCTGGGTGGCATCTGGGGAATCAGCTTTGAGCTCAGGAGGAGGTGTGATGGGCCCCATAGCCCTTGGGAGGCCAGGGGCTCACTCCCTGGAGCTGGCCACCCTCTCCCGTGCCAGAGCCTGGAGCCCCTCTGAGCAGGGCAGCTGGGCAGTGCACTCGGCCCTCTCTCCCAGGACCAGCCTTACTCTGCTGCCCCACAGAGGCCCAGCTCCTCCCTGCCAGACACAGGCTCAGGCTGCCTCGTCCCTGCTAAGTGTGCCCTCCTCCGGCCTCTCCTCCAACACCCGCAGTCCCTGAGGCTCGAGGGGCTAAGCCCATGGACTTCTAAACCCAGGGGCTGGGCCCAGATCCCGGCTCTGACACGCTGTCACCGGGACACTGGCAGACTGACTTCCCCTGCCCCGTTCACTTTCCCGACCTGTGAAGCAGGGTGGGGCCACGCCTGTCACCGCCCACACAGGTAGTAACTATTCGTGGTCGTTAGCACGGGGACTGCCTGCGTCCCAGGGCCCCTCTGGCATGAGCTATGCGGCCAGACACGGGCCAGGCTGCCCCATGCGCTACAGCGAGCTGCCGCGGGAGACCCCCAAGGCTGGTCCGAGGCTCATTGGTGCTAAAGCAACAGGGCCCCAGGGGCCAGCCAGCTCCCTGCCGACCCCACTGGGTGCCCCAGAAGCAGCCTGGACTCAGCCCCCAACCCCCAGCAAAGGAGGCGCAGCTGGCTGGGAGGGGACACATCATGTTCTTATCCTCATCTGCATGGCCCTGTAATTTCTCAATTTGCTGCCGTACGAGGGAAAAACAAGGTTTAAAGGCACAACCCCCAGCCCCCCAGATCTATGCTCTGGGAGCCATGCACAGAAGCCGTCATCGGGAGTGTGCCAGCAGCGGCCCACCCGAGGGGACGGAATGCCAGGCAGAGGGACCAGCGTGAGCAAAGCCACGGAGGAAGGAACCGATGGGCACGCAAGGCGAGCTGGGAGTCAGCCGCAGTGAACTTCGGTGGGGACGGAGAAGTGATGAGACCCGACCTCCAAGGACCCGAGTAAACAACGTTCTGGGACTCGGTGCTCTGCCCGAGGAAACCAGAAGTGGGGGCCTCGTGACACAGGCCTGGGCACTGTGGGCTCTCCCCCAGCCCACGCCCCAGCTGCCCTGCCTTTCGGTAAATAAGTTTGTTTAGCGCTCACCCCGACCACAGGGCCCCGAGGCCAGGCGCCCGTGCTCACAGACGGCCTTTGTGTGGCCATGAAGGGCCTTTTCATCCCTGCCCTGGCCTCCCGCCCGCTCAACCTGGCCTGCTCCCCCTGCCCCGGTAGCTGTGGCCACAGGCGACCAGTGGGGGGGGCAGCAGGCCGGCCTGGACGGCAGCCACAGGGCCACTCCTTCCTGGCCTGTCGGCTACAGGCCACGGCCCACCGAGCAGCGGGCAGGGGGCTGCGGGCCTGGTACACACCTCTCAGGGTGGCGGGAAGGACAGCCAGCCAGAACCCCGAAGACTCCAGGGGAGTTGGCCTGTCCCTCTTGGTAGGACACGTGGAAGGAGGTGAGACCAGGTGAGATCCCAGTGACGCCAAACACGAGGCTGTCCCCCAAGCATTCCTGTGGTGGAGGACGAGGCCCACCCACCCAGGCTGTGTACACAGTGTGACCCAGCGCCTCTAGCAGCAGCCTGGGCTGGGAGAGCTGGCTGCTCGGGTGCAGGAGATCGGACAGGCGCCCCCCAGGCAGCCCCAGACCCCCAGGTGGGAAAAGCATTTCAGTGGGTGTAGGGGCTACAAGGAGCCCCAACATCCAGGCCACGGAAGATGCCACCTTACACTTGAGGTCACTTCCCTGAGTCCTGGGCATCTCTCCCACCCAAAGGGAGCTAGGTGCTCTCAGCCTGTGCGAAGGGTGCTTCTGCCCTGAGACCACCCTGCACCGCGGAGAGGCTGGGGACATTTTGACACACTCAGTGACTCTGAATGAGCACCCCAACCCGGTGCCTGGCCCATCGCGAAAGCTGGTGTCTGGTCTCGGTCGGCCTGCAGTGCCCTGTGAGGGTGTCAGAGGCCATGGCTGTCGCCCTTGTACAGACGAGGAAGGGCACAGAGAGGCTGAGGAACAGGCTTAGCTCCTTCCCAGAGCGTCTCCCCTCCTCGCCTTCACCAGCGGCTTCCGTGTGTGCCTGAGGGTCGGCTGTCCCACCAGGCCTCGCCCCAGGGCCTCGCTCACACCCCTGCTATCCAGTAGCCTCCCCCACGGACCCATAGACTTCCCCAAAGCCCACGCTGCAGGGGGGTCTCCAGTCCCAGGACCCCCGCACGGGGCTCTGAAACAGACCGTTGGCTACATCATGGCCAACAGAGGTGGCTTTCTTCATGGAGAAATACCACCCGGGACCCATCTGCGCCTCTTCTCGCTCAGGCTTCGACGCCAGCGCGGGCCGTTCCTCCCATCTCAGGGCCCCACAGCCTTGCCCAGCCAGGGCTGAGGTCCTGGGAGCCTGCCGCCCCAAGCCTGTTGGGACCCCCTTCTTGCTGGACCCCAGACCCAGCCATGGAGGCCTCTGTGCGGCCTCAGCACCGCATCCTCACGGTTCTCCGAAGGAGTCTCCGGCCTGTGTTCCCTCTGGAATGTTTCCTGACACAGGACTTGCACCTGGGGCTTCATTCTTGGGAGACCTTTCCGAGGGCCAGCGGGGAAGGGCCTGCAGGGCTGCAAGCGGCAGCGCCAGGGCTCCGTGGTCTTCTGTCCAGGGGCCTGCGGTCTGGCTCCTCAGCGGCTTGCCCTGGGCCTGGGCCCCTCCTGACTCCCAGATCTGGACGCCTTCAGATCTGTGGGTACTGGAGTAATCCCCTTGTCCCCCAAGCAGCTAACGTGCCTGGCCCTGCTGCAGGGGGCCACTGTGCCCTTGGTTCCCAATTCCCAACTGCTGCCGTCTGTCTCGTGGGAGCCCTCCGCCGAAGCACCCCCGGGAGCACCCCTCTGCCGTGGAGGACCCCTGCCCCTAGCTCTGGAGAATCTGGCCCCGGGTGCTGCTTGGCCCCGGGAGGCTTGTGGCGGCAGAGCCCAGGGAGCACCTTACCTGTGAGCACCGCGGGGGCCAGGACCCCGGAGAGCAGCAGCGCCATGCGCAGGGCCAGACAGAATGCCATCCTGGGCGAGTGAGTGTGGCTGGCGAGGGGCGCACCGAGGACTGAGCTGGTTAACTTCAGGGCGGCGGGAAAGAGGTATCAAAGGGCTGGGAAGGGTTTTCATCAATGCAAACTCTGTCCTCCTGGGACACCGTGCCCGCCCCCCACGCATGCCAACACACACACTCACACAGCAGAGCTAACAGAACAGACCGCTTTCCTGAATTCGGAGCAGCCCCACCCTCGGAGGGGAGAGGAAATTGCACCCTTTCTCTCTCCCTCTCCCAAACCTCCATGTGCAGAAGACTCACCCGGGGAGCTGGAGAATGCAGACGCCTCAGCACTGTTTCAGTGGGTTGTGTGGGCCCAGGGACCTGCATTCCGGGGCCCAGGCGGGAGACGGGCCTGCCGAGGCTGGCAGCGCTGAGCCAGGCTCTGCTCGCGCTGGGCCCTGGGTGCCCGGCCCGGAGCGGCCCGTTTGAGGAGAGCAGTGTCAATCCGACCCTCGGGCAGCGCTCGTCTCCTCCCGGAAAAGCCCGTGTCATTCAACGTCGGTGCTCCTCTCCCTGCTCTGTTCTCCCAGGTGCCTGAGACTTGAAATGCCTCCGAAATGCTCATGACCCATGTTCCAGCCTGGGTCTGGCCCAGAACCTCAGCCCCACAGCCCACTGCCTTGCTCCAAGGGTATCTAATGAGCACCTCCAACTTAACATGTCCAAAACACACCCCACTGCCCTGCCTCCCCAACCCATCGAGTCCCAGTCCCCCCTCCAGATACCCCAGCCACACAATTAATAGTTGTCAAAAGTCCCTCTCTTTTTATTACTCCCTTTGACCCCCTCTAATGGCTCAGAAAACACTGCTAACCCCCCTGCCTCACATCCTTCATGGTTTCCCACTGCTCTTCAAACAAAAAGGCCAACCTAAGAGCTTGTCTTGGTCCTACTCACCTCCCCAACCCTGCTCAAACTTGATGCTGCCTCAGGGCCCTTGCACTTGCTGTCCCCTCTCCCAGAAAGCAGCCCCTCAGCTCCTTAAGTGGTTCCCTCCTTATCACCATTCAGGTCTCAGTTCTGATCAGTTAGCCACCCCCATCCACACATCACATCACTTGTAATTTCTTCTTAGCACTTATATTTATATGAAACTTGGTTTTGTTTTTGAGGACCAATATATATACTGCAAAGTGTACAAATCTTAGGTTTACAGCTTGATAAACTTTTATACAGATATACATACACCTGTGTAAACACCACCCTGCCCCTCCCGTCAGTACCCCCAAAGTGCCACCCTAGCTTCTATCACCATAGTTTTTTGTTTTTTTTTTATCCTCACCTGAGGTCATTTTTCCACTTTTTGTTCAGAGTGGGAGGGAGAGAGAGAGAGAAACATCGACGTGAAAGGGACACAACCCAACCAGGGCCAGGGACAAACTACAACCGAGGTACGTGCCCTTAGCAGGAACTGAACCCTGGCCTATCTAGACCACAGGCTGACGCTCTAACCACTGAGCCAAACCAGCCAGGGCACCATAGGTTAGTTTTGTCTACACTTGAACTTCAACTAAATGGAATCATACGATATGAACTCTCTTTCGTTCAACATTGTGAAATTCATCCACGGTGTTGCACGTAGCAGTAGCTCATTCATTCTTATTGCTCAATAGTATTCAACGGTCTGAATGTGCCCCCAACTTATCTGTTCTTGTGTCCATTTCATCCGCTTACTTATCTATGTCCATGTGAATGATTTCCAGGCGTGAACTCTCATGAATACGGCTCCTGTGACTATTCTTGCACATGTCTCCTGGTGGACATGGACTCTGATTCTCTTGGTTATCATCTAAGGATCGAATTGTTGGGTCAGAGGGCGGACGGTGTTGAGGTTCTGTAGAGCTGCCCGGCAGTTTTCCTGCGTGTTCCCATCTCTACTCCCATCAGCAGTCGCCCCACATCCTCACCTCACCCTAGTATTGCCCGTCTTTTTATTTCTAGTCGTCTGCTGGGTACGTGGTGGTGTCTCATGGTTACGTTTCCATGATTAATATAGTTGAGCACTTTGTCATATTTATTGACCACAGGAATAAATGACTTTTATGAAGGGTCTGCTCAGTTCTTTTTATCTACATATGTATTAGGGTAGTCTATCTTTTTAGGAGTTTGTGTGTGTCCCAGATAAAAATCCTTTGTCAGACATATGTAACAGTGCCCCGAGATGAAGTGTTCATTGGTTGTCTGTCCCCACCCCGTAGTCCCAGGACAGCAGGGGCTGTGTTGTGTTCAGTGTATTTCCAGGGCCTGGCCCCACGCTCAGCACGCAGCAGGGACTGGATACTTGGATTCCGTCAGCGGGTATTTGGGGGATAGACTTCACTGTGAGCATCACCTCACCGTTCATTCCCTTGTGCTGCTCGGCTGCTCAGCATCCCCCCCTCACCTCTCTGCGCCCCAGCTCCCCAGGTCACACTCCCGAGAGGTCCTGCCAGCCGGCTTCCTGCCCGCATCTGCCGGTGGGAGGCACTGCTGGGAGCCGGGGAGGGACAGAGGCCTCTTGCTGCCTCGGATTTCTGACAGCGTCCCTGGCAGCCGCGGCCGCGGCCGCGTTGGCTGCAGCAGTGACAAAGGGTCAGGTGCAGGCGGCTACAGCACAGAGGACTGGCGGTGCGGGCTCCTGGATGCGGACCCCAGCAGCCTTCCTGGACAGGGCCCTGGCCTCCCAGGGGGCTCTCTGCTCCTCCAGCCCAGGCTGGTGTCAACTTCCGACTTGCAGGTACTAATTTGGGAAGAACCCTGCCTTCCGTCTCTTGCTCCGTCACCCCTTCAGACACCCTTCGGACAGATTCCTGTATTGAATCTCTTCTGCCTGAGCAGGGGACTGCTCCCTGGTGCGTGGCCCCTGGAATGGTCCCGGAAAACTGGCCCTCAAAGATGTGTCTCCGGGCTTGCTTTGCCACCCGGGGCTGAACGTCGGGAAGACCTCACAGCCCGAGGAAAATGACATCTGGCAGCGTGGCACCACCGTGTGTCAGGACGTGACTGTTTAGGTGAAGGGCCTGTTGAAAACAAGGCTTACAGGACCAAGCAGACGCTGCACTTGACAGAAGTGACCAGGATCGACAGGACAGTGAAGTAATCTGGCTGCTTGTTACTGAGCGGGGTGTTCACAGAAAGGACAAGTTCAAGGATGGAAACTCCAAGGTTGGCACGATCAGAGAACTAGAGCATTTCTATAGTCTTTTAAAAGAATCTCTCATTTCTTATAGACACAGGGCATAGAATCAGGTCCTAAGTGTGCATGGGTCGCAGAATCAGAACCTTCAATTGAATTCATAGCCATGCCAATGCTTAGTGACATCTATGGCACTGCCTGGGAAGGACCGAGACCTTGGGTCTGGATTGAGGATACCTGGGGAGACTCACACAATCAGAGAATCTCCCCCTCACAAATCCCCAGGTAGCTGGTTCTTCTCCGGTCTGAAGACATGGCCTTTTCTTGTCTGAGTAATAAATAAGCTCGCGTGATAAGAATCCTTTCGAGAGGATGCCTGTCCTCAGCACCCACCCTCCCTGTCTCCATACCCATGACCAGAGGCAAGGACACCAGGTACAGAGTCTCAGCCAGGGGGACAAAGTACACACCAGAACGATGGCAAACATTCTAGCAATGAGTTAGTAAGGAAGTGCTAAGACTTCGCTGGCTTACACGAGCAGAACCCTGGAGAATACGTGTGGGAGTGAATTCCAAGGTGTCAGGTACATGGACAGGATGTGAGTGACCTCAGGGCAGGTCCAATGCATCGGCAGGCGTGTCCAGCAGATTAGGAACTCCATGTTTCGCTCAAGCATCTAGAAGTAGCTCTAACAGCTTGGCTGGTTGACTAAAACCTAGACTCAGCAGTAGCCTGGATTCCATGACATTGAGAACCCTGATGTCTGAAGAGGAAGGAAACAAAAGACTTAGGAAGGAAGGGATGTCGGAGCAGATTCATCATAGTAACTCACATGTTCTCCACCCATAACATGTCCTCAGTAGGTCCCTTCGCTGAGGCATTGACAGATGCATTGGGAAGGAGACCAGCATCTTTAAAAAGCTATGTGGTGTGTGCCCTGCAGGCCAGCACCGACAAGGATGGCATCTGAGCTCAACACTGCAAGCATGTCAAAGGCAGAGTGGCCACAAGAATGTTCTGACCCACCCTGGCCAGTTTGGCTCAGCGGTTAGAGCGTTGGCCTGCGGTCCAGAGAGACCCGGGTTCGATTCCCGCTAAGGGCACGTATCTCGGTTGCAGTTTGTCCCCGGCCCTGGTAGGGTGGTGCGGGTGGCAGCTACTCGATGTGTCCCTTTCATGTTGATGTTTCTCTCTCTCTCTACCCCACTTCCACTCTATCTGAACAAAAATGGAGGAGTGTCCTCGGGTGAGGATAAGGAAAAAAAAAGGGTGTTCTGACCCCTCGAACACCAAGCCTCTCGCCTGGTTCCCAGACCCAGGATCTCAACAGGAAGGAGGCAGCTTCCCGGTGAGAAAGGACTCGGCGAGGTGGCCGCACGGATAAACAGCCGGCTTCCCCAGCGATGCTGGCAGCCACAGGCCAGGGCAGCTGTGCCCAGGGGAAGGGACATACACCATCTCCAGGGGTGACTGGGCGCGGGCTGTGTGGACACTAACCTCTGGGCACCCACAATGCCCCTGTGTCCCCCAGAGGGAGCGCTGAATCCATCTCGGGGAGGGCTGCCCAAGGGCAGGAGCGGGCAGCTGAGCCCCATCCCGGGGAAGCGGACCCTGTGGGAGCCGCGGCGCCTGTGCATGTTTCACCATTCCCTTAGGTTTCGCTTATGAAAGACAAATTCAAGTTAAATTATTAAGAATTTCAAGACAGTGAATTGTATTTAAAATAATTAATGAACCACACTAAAGAGCAAAAAATGGCAATGCGCTCTCAGACTAGACAAAAAGTCTAAATTACAAAGATGACAATTAACCATGTACGTACAGGGTGGGACAAAAGTAGGCTTACAGTTGTTCACATGGGAAATAATACAACTGATAAATAATAACACAAGAATAGCCTGTTTCGCATACTCACATCTGTAAACCTACTTCTGCCCACCCTGGATGTATTTTGTTGGAGGTGCATTTTTAGAGTAAACAAATACTGAATTCTAGCAAGCAAAATACTTTTCCACAGTATTATGGGTTAGCAATTAATTATGAGACCATGTTGGCATATCCTAGGCGTGAGCAAATACAGAAATATATTGAGGACAACAGAAGCCGGTAGGAGAGAGGAATTACAAATGCAGGGAGAGAGATTCGAACAGAGCCAGTGTATTGGAATTGAAGGTATCAGTAAGAATTCATGGATGCAGAGATAAACAGTACGACACAGATACACAGGTGTACATGCGTGTACACACACACACAGTCTCTCTGTGGAGACACCCCATTAGCAATAAAGCATGACCAGCGCCCAGATTTTGGTTTCTGGATACCATTCCCTACTACAAGAAAGCACTGCTCCTTGGGAGAAATGGTTTCCAGATCTGGAAAAGGAAAAGTAGGTGATAAGCCTAGAATACCTCATGCCAAAGTTAAGAAAATACTCGAAGAATGATGGGAATTCAACAAAAGAACATAGAAGCCAATTTGTGCATGAAAAATAGAATCAGACGATAAGCTATACAGTGTGTTCACCAGCGCGCGAGCGTGCGTGTGTGGTTGTCCTTACAGCAGATGCTAACACACGTGAAAGGAAAGCTTGGCAAACACCTTAGTAACTGCTCAAGAATCACCAAAGGCTGCTGAACCAGTGGATCAGTCTGATGAGGAACTGGGTTATCTAGTCTCCAGGTGCTCCCCGAAGAGAAGGCACCACAATGCAGAAACCCGGCAGACTGCACCACACCGAGGAATTCAAGTGAGCATCGCCAGTACCGGCGATACGACCCGCGGAGGACACCACCACATCACTTCTGTAGTATTCTTGCCCAACTGCTAACCTCGATCAAATCATGAGAAAACACCAGGCCAACTGCGGGCATTCTACAAAATAACTGTCTTGCCCCCTTAAAAAAATGTCAAGATAGGAAAGGCAAAGACAGACTGAGGAATTGTTCCTGGTCAAAGGAGACCCAAGAAACGTGACAACTCAATGCAGCCAGTGACGGTGGATGGCCTGCCGGTCCCGTTGGTTTGCCTTATAAAAAGCCCATCAGCAGGACAACTGATGAAATACGAAAACCTGGATATTAACTGTGAGTGTGTACTGCCCGTTTCCAAGTTTTAATCACTGTATGGTGGTTATGTAAAAATGAAAAAGTCAGGGATGAGGGATAGAACGTCTGGAATATGGGCATGACTGCTGGTGCTCTAGCAGTCACCTTGGACCGTAAGTGACCTTGAGGATGGGAACCACAAGCAGTTTGGTGACCAGAAAGAACCTGGGTCCCTGAGCCACCACACCAGCCTCGGACTAATGATCTCCAGATTTCACTTGAGAAATAAACTATCTTGGTTAAGTCATTGCTACTTTGTCTTCTGTTATATGCAATCCTAACTTACTACTGACCCCCCGACCATTTTCCTGACCGTTTCTCATGCGTGAGGGGCAATTCGCAGGAAAAAGCAACGTGCTGTCAAGGGATAGTAATCTCCCCTGCATTTGGGGACAAGGACACAATCTTCAAGACATGATGTCTGAGTCTGGAGACCAGCTGGACTGGGCTGTGAGGTGATTTTGAGTTTGGTCCCTAATGTTACCACCTTGCCAGCAATGAAAGGGAGACAACAGCAGCTTCTAGGCCACTGGGCAGCCATCAGAAAACGAGCCCCCTCCTCTCACTCCCCTCCATCGATTCTGCTTCTCACATGCAGTGAGCCAGAGCTGCAGCCGTTTCTTTAGCTGCAAAGTGTTCCCGCTGATAATCCCTGGGGAAGCTCTCCTCGCGAAGGCCCAGGTTCCCAGTCCAGAAGTGACACTACCAAAAGCTGCATAGGTCCCTCACGCCCATCAGTAAGCCAGCCACCCAGGTTCTCACAAGCAGGTGGGTGCTGCTTCCATGTACCCAGCTCCCCCACGGTCCTGCCAGGCGCCGCAGGACAAAGCCATCCTCCAGAGATGAGCCCTCGCCTGTTTGTTCCAGGAAGCTCACGCTTCAGCAGCGAGGCCGGCTTCCACGTGGAATGTGCTGGTGGTTGTGCTGTTTAGAACGTGCATGGCCCTGACCGGGTCGCCCAGTGGTTAGAGTGTTGTCCCGATTCGCCAAGGTTTCGGGTTCAGTCCCCGGTCAGGGCACATACAAGCAACCAATGAACCCATAAATAAGTGGAGTAACAAATCCATGTTTCTCTCGCTCCCTTCCTAAAATCAATTTTAAAACATTTAGAATGTGGGTGCCTGCTGCTCTTTTGGCAAAGTTCTACTTCCCACAATGGACGCACAGAGAGATTCATTTCACAACAGCACTTCTGTGTAATTAGTCATACACAGACTTCCTATTTTTATTAATAGTGTAAAAAAGGGCATTTTGTATAAAATAAAATTTAATTCTTCCACTTGATTAACTTTGTATTTAAAATAATACCCACTCTATAATACATATATTTATAAAATGGTTGCCCTAAGAGAAATTCTATTTAAAACAAAGCCAGAGGTACTATATTTATCCCATTAAAAAGAAAAAGGAAAAAAGCCCTCAATTTAGAGCCGACAGAGTCCAAGCTCCTTGACGTGTGTGCAAAATCATTTTATGCAGTTATTTCTCCCAAATGGCCACGGCGGTCTCTGCATCCCCCCTGCTCCTCCACAGCGTGGCCTTCCATCAAGGGGTGGGGTGTTCCTAGCCCCTGAAACCTGAGTGGGCTGTGTCACACAAGTGAGACTATAACTTCTGCCTGGTTCTCTGGGAGAATGCAACTGCCACACAAGAAGTCTGCCTACCCTGAAGCTGCCAGGCTGGAGGACACAGGGAGTTCCTTCAGCCTTAACACAGCCACATTCCCACCAACAGTCAGCGGCAACCACCAGTCCCACGAGTGAGCTGTGGGAGCCAGCCCACCTAACTGGCCTTCCTAAGCCTGCAGCCCTGAGCACGCTGGGAGACCACGTGGAAGGACTGCCCACTGGGCCCTCCCCAAGTGCCAACTCACAAAACTATCAACAAGATGAAGGAGCTGCTGTAAGCCAGTCTACAGGTCCTGGCTAAGCACCAACTGTAGCCAGAGCACCAAATTCCCTGGATAAAGTCTCCACAATCAAACTATTTTGTCTGGGTATGTTTTTAAAATAACTAGAAGCAGACAGTGTACAAAACAGAGACTTTAACACTAGGAAGGTTCGGATAATTTGCAAATACGTTTATAGAAAGAAATAAGGACATGGCAGCTGGAAGTAAGAGTGAGCAAATCAGAATGTAACAGAGCAGAGTTAAGACAGACAAACTCCTAGAGAAGAGCGGTCTCCTTCCACGAAGTGGGAAATTCTGCAGGTAGGAGCAAGGCTCCCGTTTTAGCAAGTGGAATGTTCCATGACGAAAGTGACTTGTTCCTCCTAACCCGCCTAGCCCGCCCCTTACCTACTCCCTGAGCAAGCACACAGCAGGGCTGGTGGAAGCCGAGGGCAGGTCCAGAGCAGTGCATTCTGGGAGGTGGGTCTGGTGAGAGGGCAGCAGATATCCACACGTCAGCATAAAGGGACACAGGAGGGCCATTTGGTCAAACTTACCCATGTTTTCCTTGACCTCGACATTTCAAGTCGAGCAGCAGCCAGCGTTCAGAGGCTGGCAGAGCGCTCCGGCTGCCCCACCCCCGTGCCGGGTGCTCCTGTGCTGGGAGCTTCCCACGGACCGAGAGAACGGTGTGCAAAGCGCAGCCTCGTCCAGGCGAGCACAGGAGGTGCGCTCAGACAGACCACCACCAGGTTTTATTTAAGTTCTTTTTTATTTTCCTCCACACTGGCAAAAGTTCCGAGGGAGCTTAAAGTTTTGTAAACATTTTAACTATTCCTCTTCCCCACCCCCCACTTTTGAATTTACAAAGCAAAGGAGAGCAGGAGTCCCAATTTTAAATGGTCCCCATCTCCTCATGCTATTTGATCCAAAACTATATACAAGTTTATAGCAGTCTCTGTATAGTTACTGTACATGTTTAGGAGGGAGGGAGGCAAGAAGGGACAGGGAGAATGGTGATCCAAAAGAATAAAAATAGAAACCAAATATAATCATCCAAAACTAAACTGCTCTCAGAGCAACTCCAGCCTCTTCAGGCAGTGACGACAGAAAGAAAAGGTGCTCTACCAGGAGCCACCAAACAGCACTTCTTGCACAGGGATGGACGGTCCAATGGCTCCAGACATAGTGTGACTGGCAGTCCGGTGATGTTCTGTGGGGGCTGATGGAGGCAGGAAGAGTGTTGTTGATAAACAGGGCTTGAACACATCTACATGGAAGGGAAGAGGTATGCGGAGGCACGACCAGAAGCCAGCACCAGGCTTCTCCCTGTTCTCTCCCGTCCCCTCCAGCCCACTGCCTCCTCCTGTATAGTGGTTTCCATGGATGAAGGTCTGCAAGATGGTCAGGTTTTGTATGTTCTTTTCAGAAAAGGCAAGCAACTTGCCATTCCAGAATCTTTAAACAAAACCTTTTCGGGGCCACAGCAAGACACACACACAATGCTCTGAGGAACCAGATGAAACTCCGGGTTTTTATCTGATGCAAAAGTTTATCCCTATTCAAAATGAAATTATACAAATTCATACATATGGTAAAGATCCTAGTTGCCTCTTAAACGAGACAAATTTTCAGCAGAAAGGCCCAAAAAACAAACTGGTCCTAGTCCTCTGAAGTAAAAATATTTATGGGAAAATCAGTTTTTGTAAGAAAGAAAAGTTAAGAGTAAGCCCCTCTCCCAGGCCACAGGCTCTCCTCTGTCCAATCAGGCTGGAGTATGCCAGGGGAGAAGTCGGCTTGCTTGGAAGTCACTATCTAATGAAGAAAACAGGAATCCTTTCTCCGAAAGGATGCTCAGAAAGAAGAGGCGAAGGGTGTGCAACATCAAACCAATCCAATCTAAACTGCACCCGACTCAGGGCCTCTTTGATGCAATCCCAAAGTTAGCAATGTGACCTTCAGACTGCAGAGTGCTGTCTCTGTTGGACACTCAGTCATGGTCCATGGGCGTTTTGTAGCTGGCCAATGTCTGTTACCATTAACTCTCTTCATGATTGCACCAGTTAGACCCCTTGCCCTTGTTGGGGGGATAAAATGAAGAAAAACAAAAGAAAAAAAGTGACAAGAGAAAAAAGTAAATTGCTATTGGCAGATCCCAACACACTTTCTGGGAATAGTAGATGAAATCACGGCACAGTAAACACTTGCTGCCCAAAATCAGCCTTGTTGGAGAGAAATCCCAACTGCCACCCCCGAGACACAGGGTCCGGTCCACTTATCTACAGTCTGAGATGCTCACCAACAGAAACGGTTTAAAGGATCTTGGACACAAAGGGCTAGAAGAAAAAGCCTGAGATGATGGGTTCTGTGATTTGTTGCAGAGTGATTAGAGTAAAAGGTGAGTAAGTGATGTGTCCAAAGGTGGAGAATCCATGGTCAGCAGAGAGGAGAGGGAAGGCCAGTCCACTGGCAGGTGCTCAGTAGTCATCCAAAGTCTCGATTTCACCCATATTGAGTCGCTCCGATGAAGCATTGACTGAAAACCCTGCAGGAAAAAATTGGCAATGAGTGACCACACCCAGACAACTGTGCATCTCAAAGGCAATGGGCTACAATTCCGGGGAGTGGGCTGGACACCTCAAGTCAAGGGGAGGAGAAGAAGGATAAAGGCCAGAGCAGTGTGTGTGTGGGGTTTTTTCCCTGCTCCTCAAATGAGAGGTTTTTTTTGTTTTAGTTCTTAGGGTTCTGATATAATTTAACTATGGAGAGAAAAACAAAAATAAAAAGCCCAGCCTCACTGCTTAAATAGAATTGCAAACCACTGGGGTAAAAGTATGTGTTCAGGCCAGGCCAGGCTGGTCCTCAAGGTAGGAGGGGAAATTCATCCAGATGTACCTTAAAAGAAATCAGGGCAGGGGGCAGGAGTAAGACAATATGAATGACAGTAATACTACTTCAGCCTCATGTACTACTGGGAGCCCCCCCCCCCCCAAATTCACAACCTCTATCAAATTCTGGCCAAGAGCTTTTGCTGTGTGGAGGGAGGAGGCTTCAGGAAAGCCCACTACCGGATCCCCAGAGCCTTTACATTCGAGTGCTCGATTCAGCTCAATGTGCTGTAGGGAGGCCTGCAGACTGCAGGGAGCAGTGCTGCTGGACCACAGCGGGACCCAGACAGAGCAGAGCGCCGCACTGGAGGCAGGCAGCAGTCCGCACAAACACTGCTGACATTTGAAAACCTGATGCCACCAGTCACAGGCATGTAATTTCCCACAAACTCTAGAATCAGAGATGGATAAAAAGAATTATTCACAGGGCCTCTTTGGAAGGAGTAACTCCTAAAAAGCTTTTAGTTCATCCACCCTGAATGAAATCCCAAACTGTTTCAGCTGCTATTTGAATATCAAAAAGTAAACAAGCAACGCTCTCCAGTCTAAAAGCAGTTCTGTTAATATTGAGTTTTCTACCCCTTCCTTTCTGTTCCTCATGTTCAAGTTTTCAAACAAATACACATTTTAAATGTACCAATAATAAACCAAAAATGCTTTACATAGTAAAAACAGCTTAATTATATTACATTCTTGACTCAAAAATATCACGATTTGAAAACATAAACATGTCTATTTATTAACCAGGGAAGCTGCAGTACAGGCTGCTTACAGACCTGATACTGGGAGGTGAGGATTCCAACCCCAACCAGAGTTCTACCCATCAACTGTGTTCCCACAGCCCACAAGACTTTTTTACCTTAAAAATAATGAAAGGCTTAGTGTTCATATTTTAAAATAACGGTTTAATTAGGCAAGTATAAAAACCTAAACGCTGAGCAAGTCTCTGAATTGAGCCATTACTCTATTCTGAAGCAGGTTTTTCTTTGACTTTACATATATCTCAAGAACAGATAAAATGTGATAAAAACAATAACAAACTACAGGCAATAAAAGTAGAAATGTAATAAAAACACAAACTAAATTATTTTAAATCACAAACAGACAAGAAAGGAGAAGCATCCTGGGGCCAAAAAGTTATCTATCCATTGCTATAATATGCCGATGACGAGGTTGTCATAAAAAACCAGGCTGGTGTGGCTCAGCGGTTAGAGCGTCGACCTGCAGACCAGAGAGTCCCAGGTTCGGTTTCCGCTAAGAGCACGTACCTCAGTTGTAGTTTGTTCCCGGTCCCGGTTGGGATTGTGTGGGTGGCAACCAGTTGATGTCTCTTTCACATCGATGTTTCTCTCTCTCTCTTCTGCTCTGTCTGAAGATAAATGCAAAAATGTCCTTGGGTGAGAATTAAAAAAATGAAAAAATAAAAAACCAGCAAGGTGAGCGCCTTGCTCCATGGACAGAAAGGAAGGCTCTGGGACACCACGAAACCCAAGGCAATACGAACGAAGACTTAAGCCCAGGATGCCTAGCTCTAAAGACCACGTTCTCTTCAGAACAGGTCATCTCTTGTTTGCACAATCTCTTTACGGTTTGAGAGCCTGTTCTTTCTTTTTCTAATTAATTAATTTGTTTGTTTATTTATTTTATCCTCACACCCGAGGACATTTTTTGCATTTATCTTCAGATAGAGCGGGAGGGAGAGGAAGGGAGGTAGAGAGAGAGAGAGAGAGAGAAACATCGATGTGAGAGAGACACATCAACTGATTGCCACCCGCACGACCCCAACCGGGCCGGGGACGAACCACAGCTGAGGTATGTGCTCTTAGCAGGAACCGAACCCGGGACTCACTGATCCACAGGCTGACGTTCTAACAGCTGAGCCAAACTGGCCAGGGCGAGAGCCTGTTGTTATAAGGAGAGTGACTGTGTGTGTATACAGCTGACCCTAAACAACATGGTCTAAACTGCACGGGTCCACTTATAGGCAGATTTTTTTCAATAAATATGTAGTAGGCCCTTCACATCCCAGAGTTTCGCATCTATGAATTCAGCCAACTGCAGATGGAAAACAGTATTCTTGACCGGCTGTTGGAAATCAGTGGATGCAGAGGGCTGACTATGCACTGCTCTCTGCCATTTTATAGGAGGAACTTGAGCATCCTTGGATTTCGGTATCCGCACCAGTCCTGGAACCAATCCCCCACAGACGTAAGGGATGACTAAGTTTGGGGGGAGTCAAAAGTTATGCGCGGACTTGTGACTGTGCAGGAGGTCTATGCTCCTAACCTGTGTTGTTCAAGGGTCAACTACATTGTCATATCCAAGGACAGGATGTTGGCTCACAATGGTACCTGGTGGCTCTAGAATCTAGGGGAAGAAGTGAATACAAGGGAAGAAACTGAAATGAGACCGATGGTATATTTTAGAAGAACACTTCTATTTTGATCAATGACTACTTTTTTTTTTTTAATGTTGAAGTAATACAACTTATGCAGCCACTAAATAAGCTGGCTAGAGCTGACAAACTCCAAATTACTCTTGCATACACTGCCCCCCCTGCCTGGCCACGAGCAGAGTCAGGCAAGGTCTACGGGTATGCCCAATGACTACTTTTTAATGGATACGTTTGGGTCAAATTAAAATCTGTTTCCTACTCTGTGCATGGGGAACTTGTGACTGACAGATACTTACCAATTTTCTTAATCTGTAAATTAAGAAGGCACATATAAACTAAAAGTAATAATATATGAAAGTTAGGTAAAGAGCAGAAATTAGTAATTACCAAAAGAATTTCCAGGAGGTTCAGTTGAACAGAAATTTTCATAAAATGGTCCAAGAGATTACCCAAATGAGTTTCCTCAATACCTTGTTTTTTCTTCCCCTTTAAGATACACAGTCCTGGAACTCTACTCCTGAAATGACCTCTCATTCCCCTAGAGAGATTTTACGCCCCTTTCTGTCCTATGTTGGTAATAGGAGATGGAGTCAGATCAGATATTAATCCAAAGAGCTTCACCTCATTTTCAAAGGAATCTTCTCCCAGACAGCCCGGCCTCTCAGTGCCACCGCTAAGCAGCAAGGGGTTCTTAGCTAGAACCCACCACCACACTTTTAAATCTATATTCACCTATTTCTGTCCAAACTAGATAAAAGTTTGGACTATTCCATCCCTCATTTACATAAACTTTCAAGACAGGCAGAAAGAAAGAGAACATCACCAGCTCACCATGTTCCCAGAGCCAGCATTCAGGTACCAGCTCCGAAGAACACTGCTCAAAGTTGAGGTTTTGTTGCTGGCATTTGGTTCTCCAGGGCAGGAACCTTAGAGGGAAGCAGGGGTTGTACCCAGGGCAGAGTGGAGTTGTAACCTCCCTCTTGCTGTGCTATCAGCTCTTTCATGCGGGTCTCTCCACTGAGGTCTCAGACTCACTCCACTCACCTCAACCAGCATCTAACACCCTGAGTCTCCCCTTCTGCTCACTCCACTTCACAGTGCTTATCATTTTAGCAAAAGCCAACACTATCCTTTTTGCTGCCCAAATCCAGCCAATTCTATCCCCCAAATCCCTCAAATCCCTCGAACTCCTATCTCCAATGCCAAAACCCTATTCCAGGCCACCATCATATTTCACCTGGTCTATACATAAATAAATAAAACAGCTATAACCTGCATCCCCCAACATCCATAAATCATTCTGCTCTGGACAGCATGGTTTTGTAATAGCCTGTTTTACATTCATAAATTAATAATTTTAATTTTATCGTTGTATGTAAGTTGTTAGGCCAATTTGAGGAACAAAGGCAACCCATCAGCTTTGCCTATGCTGTTTATTCATCCAGAAACACCATTCCCCATCCCGCCTGCCAGTCTTTCAAACCCCAATTCAGGCGTCACCTTTTCCATGAAGCTGCCTTGTGTGAAGACACTGGTCGGTCCTCAATGCAGACAAGAACAGCAGCTGGTTACCACAGGAGAGTGAAAGCAAACAGACCTGCTCTGCAACCCCAGCCCCAGTGCTGACAGACGGGCGCTGTGGGTAATGTTCTGAACCCTCCAGGCTGGGGTGTACTCCTCGGTAACCCTGGCACATCACCTCATAAAGCAGCCACTCTAAGAATCACATGAGATACACACAGTGGGGATCAACAAACACTGGTTTCTGTTCTCTGAACACCTGATTGGATTTATGGTCAGTTTCCACACAAATCAGCATTTAAGTTTGTAAATAACTTTTACTGTCCTCCATTAGCATTATTTACAACTAAACTGAAAGGCCTTTTAGGGAAATTCATATTGAATATGAAACAGGCTTTAAAGTGTGAAGCACAACACAATGTAGCCCTACAGCGCACAAGGCATGGCTCCTGCTTCGAGATGCCCAATAAATACTACTTATTTTGAACTGGTTAAAAAAATTAATTTTGTATAAGAACTATTTCCTTTCATGAAAAACATTCCACCGTGGGACTCCCGTAAACAACTATAACCTGCATCCCCCAACACCCAGCTGAGACTTCAGGCCTGCGCTCACCTAATAAACTGGGATCTGCTCGGACCATCTTCTGTTTTTTCTTCTTCTTGCCACTCTGTACAGCCTCAAAATTGGATTGTTGATTGTTGCTTTGATTGGTCTGAAACACTGAATGGAGTGCACTGTGGTTCATGCCCCACACAGAGTCCTATGAAACAAGATGGCAGAAGTGAGGTTAGGTTACTCAGTGTATGGAGGCTTGCCCCACCCTAAGAAAATGGTGTCTGCTGTCACCCTGTCAACTATGAGTTACAAACAGAAAGCCCACCACGGATTCTGGTACTAATGAACCCAGAACAGTCCACTGAGCCACTTTCTCCTTCATTTAGACTCCAACACCCCATGTAAGCGCTATGCCTCCACAAAGCCTGTCTTGGTGTCACCCTGCTATGACAGCACAGTGGCCAAAACCTCTCAGGTCTACACGGCGTCTGTACCATCATCCACCAGGAAGTTCAATACACAGCAAATGGAATGACCAACAGACCTCTGCACTATGGCAATTTATATCCCTCACCTACCCAAAGTGGAAGGTCCTTTGTTCTCTGGGCCCCAGGACAGAAAACAGGATGCAGATCAGCTGGCACCATATTACCAAACAAAGTTAACGTCATGCACTTGATTCCTATCGGCAGTCCCAGAAAAGATCTGGTCTTAAAACATTATCCATACACTTTCTACCAACTGGTTCAACTGTGAAATGGTCTACTGGGTGTTCACAGTTACTTTTTGCTCTTATTGGAGCAATCAATTTATTTCAAACTGGGATCAAGATTCAACGAGCTAGCTGAAGGAAGGGCGGGTTGAGAAAGCACTGTGGAAGGATGAGCCTGGCCACGCGTGTCCCCTGGTCCTTCAACTTTCTACCTCTGGATGGCTATATGATGTCTCTCTTTTGATTCTTCAAAATATTCTTCCTAGTGCTGTTCATGTTTACATCTTTTACTTTCCTTCAGTTGATCCCTGTTAGCCCATCTACCCAAATGGATTTTAAATGCCCTATAATTCACTGTATCTTACATGTCCCAAGAAGTGACCTATAAAACAAACATCAACTCTGGTAGAATTATGCGATTAAAGGATATGAATATTCTTGAGCCTCTCCCTGTGGTTTGCCAATTCGTCTTTCAAAAAACTTGTACAAACAAGCCTCGTTATTCATGGATTCCACATTTACAAATTCACTACAATAGTTTGCTCTTTTCCATGGTTTCCGCAGTCAACCACAGTCCAGAAATAAAAAATTCATAACTTTTAAACTGTGCACTGTTCTGAGTAGCCACCCCACTCAATGCTGCCCTGGACACGGATGATCCCTTTGTCCAGCGTCACCATGCTGTGTACATACCACCCGCCCATTAGTCATTTAGTAGCTGCCTCAGTTACCGGATCTGTGATCACAGAGCCAGAGACACCATATCCATGTAACTTTTTATCACAGTATATTGTTATAATTGTTCTATTTTATTATTGTTGTTAATCTCTTACTGTGCCTAAATTAAGCTTCATCACATGTATATATGTACAGGAAAAACATAGTATATGTAGTTCAGTACTAGCCAATTTCAGGCAACCACTGGGGGACCTACAACATACCCCCTGTGGAGAAGGGGGGACCACGGCCCTCACTGTAACTTATTTGTAACCCAAACCGATACCAGCAGTGCCTGTGTGCTCGTTCTGGACACACCCACGTGCAGAGCAGCAAGATGTCCAAGCTGCTCAGGCACCCGTTCCCAGCTGAGGCAGATCAGAGGAGCACTCTGACTTCTTGTCTGTAAACAACCGTCTTTTTCAGCCTATTTAGTGTCATGATTTTGACATTTTTGTCCTTTTTGTTGGTGATTTCATTATTTAAAATAGCCCCTAAGTGTTAAGTGCTGTAGTGTTCCTAAGCAGGAGGCTGCAACGTGCCTTATGGAAAGAGTATGTGTAAGTTAAGCTTCATTCAGGCCTGGGTCAGAGTGCTGTGCTGTGAGTTCAACCTTAATGGCATCAACAATACAGGGGTGGGAAAAAGTAGACTTACAATTGTGCAAATAATACAATAATAATAATAATAAAAGAAGAATAAACTGTTTTGCATACTCAGAACTGTAAACCTACTTTTGCCCACCCCGTACATTAAATAAAGCATCATGAAACAGAAAAACAAGGTTACATACTGATCAGCTGACAAAAAAGTTGTGACCAGAAGTTCCTAGGGAATATTCAGTATTCACTAATTCAGTGATGGTAGCAACTTTACAGAACACAACTACCATGAATATCGAAAACTGATTGTACTTTTAACATGCCCATCAAAAATGTAGGAAATTGGCCCTGGCTGGTTTGGCTCAGCAGTTAGAGCGTTGGCCCGCAGACCAGAAAGTCCTTGGTTCAGTTCCCGCTAAGGGCACGTACTTAGGTTGCAGTTTGTCCCCAGCCCCGGTTGGGCTCGTGTGGGTGGCAACCACTCGATGTGTCTCTCTCTCTCACGTCGATGTTTCTCTCTCTCTCTTCCTCCCTCTCTCCCTCCTGCTCTACCTAAAGATAAATGCAAAAATGTGCTCGGGTAAGGATGAGAAAAAAAAAAAAAAAAAGTAGGAAATTGTCGGTACCAGATAAAGTGGATCCTGAGCACTGCAGAGTTAACATTTGTCAGCTGTAACTGTTCAAAACCAAATGTATGGGTCTGTGACAAGTTGGAATTTGCAATTTGACTGAGGCACATGTATGAACCAAGAACAATGGGGCTGGTGGTGTGTCTAACAGAGAATGAATGGAATGAATGGTTATATTTGCTATTTGAAAAATTCAATGTCTCTGGATATGTAATTTAAAAACATCATGTCTAACACATTTTTTAAAGCTTTGGTCATTTGATGTACAAAAATGGTATCTTTGTTCTACTTCTCCTCTTTCCGGCTGCTCAGCAACTCAAGGTATGAACAAATGCTCACACCCAGGGCTGCACTCACTGCCCCACGTACCTGCTGCTGCTGCTGCTGCTGCTGCCGCTGGCTGGCTTTCTGTTTGGCACGGCGTTCAAGAAACTGCTTGGCAAACTCCTTGGCCTCAGAGGTATCTCCTAAATAGGCCCTAACATAGTCATGGACTTCATAAGGAGATTCTACTTCTTTCAGGAACGAAACAAATGTAGGAACTGCAATATGAGAGGGGAGAAAACGAAAGAGTAATAATGAAATATCATGTACAAAAAAATCAGTTTGTTTTAAATATACTGTCATACCCAACAAAGATGACAGAAACTTAAAAGGTACATAGCTATTGTTAAATATTCTTTAATCTACTTTCAAAATAAGAAAAAAACACTATCACTACAATACGTCAAATTATCAGAAACAGACTAGAGTCAAAGACAAAGACATCACACATGCTGTTTCACTAAATGTTATGTGACCGAAACAACTGCTTGCTTAAGACGGAAGTCATCTGGGTGTTCTCTTTTTAAAATTCAAACAATACTTATTAGTGCTATGATGTGTGTCAGGCACCATGACAGATACTAAAGATACAGCCGTACCCCCCTTTCACATCACTGAGATGTCATATGTTTAGAGAGAAATCAAGCAGTGTGGTGTAGGAGAAAGCACAAATGTCAGAGTTAGAAAGACATGGGTTTAAAACCTGACTTGGGAATTTGTTGGCTGTGTGACCTTGATGAGTTACTTAACCATTCTGAGCCCCCGTTTCCTAATTTATAAAATGGAGATATCATCTACATTGTAATGATAGCTTATAAAATTGCTGCAAAGATGAAATAACTGGGATTAATGTATATTAATCCCCAAGAAAGTGCCTAGCACATGGCAGGTGCTTAATAGATGGTAGCCATTACTATTATTTACTATTGTTTTCTCTGGCTCTTTTAGAACATTAGGTATTATTACAATGTTGCAAAGAACTGTTTGGTCCCAACGCTATGTTTTTTAAAGATCCTTAGGTTTTAGACAAGACATCAGAGGTGGACTGGTTCAACACAGTCAATTAGCTATGGGAATCGCCCACACCAAGCTGAGCAGTTTCTGTTCAAACATTTGGGAGTGAAGGAGGGGCTCACTTCTACCTAAGGCAGAACATTCTCTTTGTAAACAACTAACAATTAGCAAGTTTTATGCAATACAAAATTAAATCTACACACTGTCACACAATTCCCACCCCGCCCCCAAAGGCAGAAAGGGAAGAGCCTACATATCACCTCAACCTTCTCTTGCCCAGACTGACCTTTGTCCCTTCCATAACAGTTACCTTCCTTCAGACTTGGCCCGGCTGGCAATGTCCCTCCTAAGCAGTATGGAACCATAGCCTCTGCCCTACATATCATGAAACATCCTGATATAGCATTCACTTTTTGGCAACCTCTGATAACCTATTTGACACCATATTACAGGACTTCTGTCACAAGTAGTAGTATATAATAGGATTAAAGAGCCAAGTTCTTACTGTAGGTGCAGGACTTGACCTCCATTAGATCATTCCAGTTTGCCTACCTCTTTGTGGGTCCTGCTCTGCCATCCCACATGCTGGGTTTCCCTCCCCAATTCTTACCATCCAAGTTATTTGCCGTATTAAGGGCATGAAGCATCTGTTCACACCACTGGGTAAATCCATCTTGGGCTTTATTTACTCCCTGAAAGAGCTTCAGCAACTTTTCTTCTTCTTCTACTTTCTTATTCTGCCGGTTAGACACACCTACAGATTTACTAAAGCAAAACAATAGGGCGATATTATATTCCCAGAAACTGTTACTATATGATTATACTACAACACCATAAATAATGTCTTGGCAACACTGAATGGCTATCCAATAATCCAATGCTTGGCTCCAAAATTCAAATATTTGGATTTGGGGTGAGGAAGGGGTTACTCAATACCACCTTAAAATCTAGCCTCAGCAAATACTAGCTTGTCAATATAGGGCTTCTTTTCAGAGAAATTATTAAATTCTTCCTATATGTGCTTTATTACGGTTTTAAATTTTGCTAAGCCTCAGTTTTCTCATCTGTAAAATGGGTCTAATCTTTGGGTGATCATAGGGAATAGAGATATTCACATAAAGGCCTAAAGCACAGTGCTCTATAAATTGGTAGATATTTAGCATACTATTCATAATATATTAGGCCCTCAATAAAGAAGAAATAATCTGACAACACTACCATTTATTAAGTAGCTGCTTAATACGGTGCCAGGCACCTTACTAACTACTTCACGTGTATTCATTGAATCTTTACAACTACACCCATGAAGTTGTTCTTATTATCTTCATTTTACAGATGAGGGAACTGAGGCTCAAAGAGGTTCCCTCTTGCCCAAGGTCACACAGCTAATAAGTGGTAGTGCTGGATTTCAGTTCATGTACTTAACACTAAAACCCATGTTCATTCATTCACTGTATATTGAGGAAAGAAAGATGAAGGTGAAAGGTAACTAACATCATAAAAATAAACACATTTAAGGCCATTACAGAAGTGTTTATAATACTGATTTTAGTATAAGTAACTTAAAAATATAAATTTAGGAAAAATGTTAAACATCTAGAGAATACCTTGCAGAAATGTTCAACAACAACAAAAATATACTATTCCTAATATTTATTAATATTACTAGTCCATCGACAGGCAATGGACTAAGTGCCCAGCAGTAGAAGGAGCCCCTAGTGATAATACAGATGCATTTCCAGGGGGAAGAAACCAATCACCAAACTATGACCTCATGTGCTTAGACACAGATGATAATAAGCAGAAACTAAATAACTACCCGTCCCTCCCACCCAAAATCCCAATCCCCACACACCCCCTTCCCCCAACCCACCAAGAAGCATAGATTTGATCATTTTGAGCCCTACCTGAGACTGGTGTTGTTTTTATTTTTATTTGTTGAATTCCTAGGTCCCACCTCTTTCACTGCATCATCCCAGAATCCCATGTTGGAGTTTTTAGTGTCAGCATTACTCCAGATACTACTGACTAGGTCAGATGCCCACTGGTTAGGGGGACCAGTATTTATAGAGCCCCAAACAGAATTCCCAATGCTGGTGTGCAGGTTGGAATGCTGTTAAAGAAAAAGACAAATGATTACAGTTAACAATATAAAAAGATAAAAAGAGAGTCCACAAAAGTCATAAAAGATAAACTTGTTCCCTGGCCGGTTTGGTTCAGCGGTTAGAGCATTGGCCTACGGTCCTGAGAGGCCCAGGTTCGGTTCCCGCTAAGGGTGCGTACCTCGGTTGCAGTTTGTCCCCAGCCCTGGTCGGTTGTGCGGGTGGCAACCACTCAATGTGTTCCTTTCACATCGATGTTTCTCTCTCTCTCTCTGTTCTTCTCTCTCCCTCCCACTCTACCTGAACAAAAAATGGAAAAATGTCCTCGGGTGAGGATTAAAAAAAAAAAAAGATAAACTTGTAACACCCATATACAGCATGACTGCTTAGGAAAACGAACCCACCGTATTATTCCGGGCTCTGTTTGGTTGCTGGTGCTGCTGCTGCTGCTGCTGCTGCTGCTTCTGCATTTGCCTGGCTTCTTCCTGTTGTATCTCCAGAAGCGACTTTGCTGTACCTGCGGGTTTACTGACATTCCCCCAACCTGAGAGTTTTTGCTGCTGCTGCTGTTGCTGCTGCTGGAGAGCTTTCATCAACTCCCTCTGCTGGCGCCTTTGCTGTTACACAGAAATTGAAGCTAGCTGAGGATTCCGGTTTCCAAAATAATAGTTACAAATGTCCAGCATACTAAAAGAAGGCAAATGTATAGTAGCTATACCAAATTAAACACCTGACAGGGTTAACTCCTTTGCTGCAAATAAACACATAGACTGCCAAAGCTACTAGAAGGAAATAAGATCAAATGTAGAATTATGCCTTATAAATAACACAGGACTTCTGGTTAAGCAGAGCAATGAAATACATGTTTACTTCCTAAAGCCCTACCAAAGTGACAGAAAATAAAATTATTTTTAAAAAGCACAAACCCACAGAGACAAAGCGAACTGAATAAATTAAAAAGCTGGAAAGCAGATAAACAATGACAGCCAATGTAACAGACCCAATAAGTTAAACTGAAGTAAAGGAAGCTCAGAAACGGTCAATTCATACAGAAAGCTTGGGATAGAGCTGTGGGTATCTCAAACAGAGGAAGACTGGTTGAAGGTCTATAAAAAGCTGTAGTGAGACTCCAGACTGCCTCCCCCACCGGATACAATTGGGCAGCTAGCTCTCCCTCTCTCCAGCAGAAAACTGAAACTTTCTCCTTTTAAAGAGGCTGAGCCAGAACTGACAGATTATTCTATGGGGAAGCTGACCCAACAAAAGAATACATCTATTAATACCAATAGATGGGGGACTCCCGCAACAGAACAGCCTAACCAGAGACCACTATAGCAAAGCCCACCAAGGTGTTATACAACCATAACCTCCAACCAGCTTTTTAGTGCTTTATTCCTAAATATGAACAAATAGCTGAAGATCAACACACATTTGACATAAGCTTCTAAAGTGAAAGTCAAAGATAAAACCAACCAAACAAATTTTTAAAAATTCAGTGGAAACAGAAACAAGACAGGGGAAAATAGAAGCTAGCTTTTAAAAAAGCTGTTATCACCTGGCCGGTATGGCTCACTGGTTGAATGTTGACCCATGCACCAAGAGGTCGCCGGTTCAATTCCCAGTTAGGGCATGTGCCCAGGTTGTGGGCCAAGACCCTAGTGGGGGATATGTAGGAGGCGGATAATCGATGTTCTCTCTCATTGATGTTTCTCTCTCTCTCTCCCTCTCCCTTCCTCTCTAAAAATCAATAAAGAAAAAAAAATTTTTAAGCTGTTATCAGTAAGTGATATTCTTAGGGAGGTAAGATGGTGCATTCAATGAAACACAAATAAGAGGCTGTAAAAAGAAACCAAAACATAAAGACTCAGAAAAACTTAAAATAAGATAGAATACATTACAAGTTCAACAGGAGGCCCTGGCTGGTTTGGCTCAGCAGGTAGAGTGCCAGCCCAAGGACCAAAGAGTCCCCGATTCGATTCCTGATCAAGGGTACATACCTTGGATGCGGGTTCAATTCCTGGTCTTGGGGTCATGAGGGAAGCAATCAATCGATGGGCCTCTCTCACATTGAAGTTTCTCACTCTCTCCCTCCCTCCCTCCCTCCCAATCTATCTAAGAAAAATCAGTGGAAAAGTATTCTCAGGTAAGGAAAAATAAAAAAAAGTTCAACAGGAGAACTGAAAGATAAGACAGAGGAAATGCCCCATCAAAAGCAGAGAAAAAGAGCCCTGGCTGGTTTGGCTCAGCGGTTAGAGCGTCGGCCTGCGGCCCTGAGGGACCCGGGTTCGGTTCCCGCTAAGGGCGCGTACCTCAGTTGCAGTTAGTCCCCGGCCCTGGTCGGTTGTGCGGGTGGCAACCACTCGATGTGTTCCTTTCGCATCGATGTTTCTCTCTCTCTCTCTGTTCCTCTCTCTCCCTCCCACTCTACCTGAACAAAAAATGGAAAAATGTCCTCGGGTGAGAAAAAAAAAAAAAAAAAAAAAAAAAGCAGAGAAAAAGAGAGAGATGAAAAACAGGAGAGAAAATATGAGAAAATCACAATCAGTCCAGAAGACCAACGTGCAACTGATAAAGAACTCAAGAAAAACAGAACTGCACTGGCCAGTGTGGCTCACTTGGTTGAGCATCAATCGTTCTGTGCACCAAAAGGTCGCCAGTTCAATTTCTGGTCAGGGTACACATGACTGGGTTGTAGTCTTGATCCCTGATTAGGGCAGGTGTAGGAGGTAGATGATCTATGTTTCTCACATTGATGTCTCTCTCTCTCTCTCTCTCTCTCAAATCAATAAAAAGAAGGAAGGAAGGAAGGAAGGAAGGAAGGAAGGAAGGAAGGAAGGAAGGAAGGAAGGAAGGAAGGAAGGAAGGAAGGGGGAAAGAAAAAAAGAAAAAGAGAGAAAGAAAAAAAGAGGAACAGCTGTATAGCAAGCCATGAGTGTCCAGATGTGAACAGGTCAGAGGGTCCTGGAAAGGCTACCTCCCAGGAAAGAAAGAAATAAAATTATCTTGGGTATCCCTACATGAGAAATAGCTATTGAAAGGCATTTCATACCTTTTAAAGAATGTATAAAGACTTAATGGTCCAAAGAAAATTAATCAAATAAAAATACAAATGAGGCAATCATTAACTTCTGACAGACAAAAAGATAAATAAGACCTATGAATCTAACCCTGACAATGACTATTATTTTTCATTCAAGACCTGTGATTCTAACTCTGATGACTACTATTAATATTTTTTCATTCAGCAGAAACCAAAATCATGGAATAATTTCTAGCTCTGAAAGAAGATGACATACTCTGCTATGCATCCATTTGTTAAGTTTTTAAAAAAGAAATGAGCGCTGGCCAGTTTTGCTCAGTGGTTAGAGCGTCGGCCCATGGACCAATGAGTCATGGGTTCGATTCCAGTCAAGGGCACATACCTCGGTTGCAGTTCATCCCCGGCCCTGGTGAGGGTCATGCAGGAGGCAGCCAGGTGATGTGTCTCTCTCTCACATTGATCTCTCTCTCTCTCTCTCTCTCTCTCTCCCTCCCTCCCTCCCTCTCTCCCACTCTATCTGATGATAAATAGAAAAATATCCTCGGGTGAGGGGGAAAATAAATAAGTAAAAAAGATATGATTTTGGAGTAAGTTCAGTATTTCTCTTTTTGAAGAGGGTGGGAAATTAGAAAATTTTAAAGATGAAATATTCTAACCCATTTGATGAGGCTGAGAACACTACACAGCGATCATGTACAGACAACTCCTACTTCTCTCTGGGCACCCATAACCATCAGCGAACTGCACCACCCAGGTCCAAAACGACAACTTGCATTATAACAAACTGACTGCTCTGCCTCCAACAATATCCACGCATGCACTTTCTTCAAGACCTTTTCAGAGGCCTTCCCATATTGCACTAGCTAAAACTAGACAACCAATCACTGCCACTAACAACTTTTATTGTCATCTCCCCTCAACTAAAGGGTAAGCTTTATAGAAGCAGAGAACTTTATTTTAGATTCAGCTGTATTCCCAGACTGTAACTATAACCAAGTAGATATTCAGTAAATATGGGAGGGATGGAGGGATGGATAGATGGAGGGATATATGGTATACTGAACCAACCCATTTTACTTATTCATTTTCTCTTACATCAAAAACTGTATTCTTCCTCCCCCCTCCCATTTTTTCTTTCACTCTTTTGTGTCCTCCCTATCCTAAAGATATCAACTGACAACTACTACAAGAAACAGACTTATAAGGAGAGACTTAATTTCTCATCTTGGCATATTTTACGGTTTTCTAGCCCAGTCAGAAAACCCAACACCCTTACAGAAAAATGTATTCTGGATTCTAAAAATCAAGTTTACAAACAAGTATCAGCATAAAACTCACCCACAATTCTGAAACACCATGAGCTATTCTCTCAAGAGCTACATTAAAATATTTAAAATAACTGGATATTTATATTATCCAATCTTAATGTTACTTAATGTTATCCAATCTTAATGTTACTTAATGTCATCCAATCTTAATGTTACTTAATGTTACTAAGATCCTTGTCATTTTCTAAAATGACTAAATTGTAAGCTAAGAAGTTCAATAATGAGCAATTCAGACACACAGCAATCTGACAACAATAATTACCTTTACTTACCACTAACTCAGAATGCACACTAGCTATTTTGGAACATGGTTGGACCAGACCACATTTACTTTTAGAATTTACCTCTTCCCGAAGCTGCCGTTCTCGTTCTTCTTCCAGTTTTTGGATTTCAGCCAATGACAGCGTGGCCTGGGACTGACATGCTGTTGTATTGGACTGCTGGCCCCACGTTGAAGAGGAGGGAAGCTAACAGAAAAGGAAGGCAGAAGGAGTGCATGAGGAAATGTGGAAACACAGAGGCAACCCTGTATCTTGTACAAGCAGAACACTCAAGTTCCTCCTGCGATCCTTTTACATACTATTCTCCCAGTCAGTTGGCTTCCTTTCCTTACATTTTCTGTCACTACCCCAAACCTAAGATTATTTTAAAGCAGCTTACAATATACAATACCTTTCACTTGCTCTTCCATTTGGGGATTGCCAATTTGTTATATCTAGCACTGGCATATACAGCAATACACAGACATTAAGGGAAACAAGCAAACGAAAACTACATTTTTCACCCAAGAAGGCGATAAAGGACATGATATGTGACTTTCCAGTGAAAGGGTTAAGACCAAGATTTCTGAAGAGAAAGCTGAGGTGGACAGCTAATGTAAGATGCCAGGCACAGTTCTTACAAACAAGTAAGCTGCTTGTTTTTAATCAATAATCCTATTTTCCTAACCCTTAAAATTATAAACTGAAGTAGAGTATAAATATCTGAGTTCTGAATACAAAAGCCTGATTACTGCACAGCCACAGTGGCTCAGTTGGTTGAGCATCATCCCACACACCAAAAGGTTGCCTGCCAGTTCAGTTCCAGGTCAGGGCACATACTTGGGGTTGAAGGTTTGATTCCTAGTCAGGGCACATACAGAAGGCAACCAATCAATGTTTCTATTTCACATTGATATCTGTCTGTCTATCTCTCTCTCTCCCCCCTTCTTCTAAGCATGTCCTCATGTGAAGATTTAAAGAAAAAAAAAAAGCCTGATTACTCTTACGAGAAGCCCTCAGTGTTCTGGGCTAGAAAAGGATGCATTTTAATTGTGAGACATCTTACAGGTTTTAAAAATAACAAAAACAACTAACAGATAAGGGGTTAATTTCCAAAATATATAGAGTGCTCATACAACTCAACAAAACGAAGACAAAGAACCCAATTAAAAAATGGGCAGAGGACCTAAATAAACACCTCTCCAAATAGGACATACAAATGGCCAAGAGACATATGAAGAAATGCTCAACGTCACTAATCATCAGAGAGATGCAAATTAAAACAACTATGAGGTATCACCTCACACCTGTCAGAATGGCCGCCATCAACAAATCATCAAACAACAAGTGCTGGCGATGGTGTGGAGAAAAGGGGACTCTAGTACACTGCTGGTGGGAATGCAGACTGGTGCAGCCACCGTGGAAAACACTATGGTGTACCTCAAAAAGTTAAAAATTGAACTGCCATTTGACCCAGTGATCCCACTTCTAGGAATATACCCTAAGAAACCTGAAACACCAATCACAAAGAATGTATGTACCCCTATGTTCGTAGCAGCACTATTTACAATAGCTAAGATTTGGAAACAACCCAAGTGTCCATCAGTAGATGAGTGGATTAAAAAGCTTTGGTACATATACATAATGGAATACTATGCAGCTATGAGAAAGAAAGATCTCTTATCCTTTGAGACAACATGGAGGAACCTGGAGAGTATTATGCTAAGCGAAACAAGCCAATCAGAGAAAGACAAATATCACGTGATCTCACTTATTTGTGGAATATAATGAACTAAACAAACAGCTGCACAAAATTAACCCAGAGATATAGAGATGGGGTACAGACTGACAAGCCTCAGAGGAGGGGGGGTTGGAGAAGAGATAAACCACAGAACTTACATGCATGTATGCATGACCAATGAACATAGACAACAAAGCTGGGGATGGGGTGGGGGGAAGGAGAGGAGGGTGTCAATGGGGGAAAAATGAGAAGCATCTGTAACAAAAAACAATAAATAAAAATAACAAAAACAACTCTAACAAGACTTACAATGTTTATTAAAAATAATATGTGAACATGGATCAAAACAAACAAAATTCCCTCAAACCCCAAAACAATGGCTCCATGGCAGAAATCTCTAAAATTGGAACTGATAGGATAAGAGTATAAACAGTTCCAATTCTCAATGATACTGCCTAACAGCTCTCCAAATGAGTCAACACTTCTGAACATCACTAATCAGTTTTTAGGCAAAATGATAGGCAGTAGGGGCATTTCTGTCAAAATGCACCTGTGTTGGGGTGTGGGAGGGGTACTGAGAGAAACTAAGAGAGAAAGACAGGAGGCTCAGAAAGCAAACTTGAGCACAAACAAATGCTTTTCTCCATAGGAAATGACCTACTTGTAAGGTGCTATCAAGATCAAATAAGGCAGTTGACCTCAAACCTGGCAGCATCACGGGAATATCCTATAAAAGTGTAGAAGCTCTGGCCCCATATTAGATGAATCAGAAGAGTCAAAGGTGAGACCAGAGAATTTGCATACTTTTTCAATTAGACAATCAGCCAGTAACCACTGATGTCTAAAATCCCAGTGGAGCCCTGGGTGGTGTGGCTCAGTTGACTGAGCATTGTCCCATGCACCAAAAGGTTGCTGGTTTGATTCCTGGTCAGGGCACAAGCCCAGGTTGTGGGCTGGATCCCCAGACACAATGCGTACAAGAAGCAATTGATCGCCCTGGCCGGTTTGGCTCAGCGGTTAGAGCGTCAGCCTGCGGTCCTGAGGGACCCGGGTTCGGTTCCCGCTAAGGGCGCGTACCTCGGTTGCAGTTTGTCCCCGGCCCTGGTCGGTTGTGCGGGTGGCAGCCACTCGATGTGTTCCTTTCACATCGATGTTTCTCTCTCTCTCTCTGTTCCTCTCTCTCCCTCCCACTCTACCTGAACAAAAAATGGAAAAATGTCCTTGGGTGAGGATAAAAAAAAAAAGAAGCAGCAATTGATCAATGTTTCTCTCTCTCTCCCTTCCTCTCTCTCTAAAATCAATAAAAACATATTTAAAAAAAATAAAATCCCAGTGGATGTGTCACCCCATAGTATCCTGGAACCTACCCTCCCCACTTCCCTTCCTCTTCCACAGAACCTAGGCCAACACCAGAAAGAGATGCATGACCTCCTGAAGTTGTCTATTTCCCTTTCAGGCACCTCTGAGATCCTTCCCACTGCTGTGCCAAAATATACTTCACTGTACTTTTCGCTCATGATTCACAGGTCTGCTCTGTGGAGTAAGCAGAACAAATCTAAGTCTTCACGTGACAGACAAATGTCTGCAGATAGCTATCATTTTCCTTAAATCTTATCTGCACATAGGAAATAATACCCCATCACTCCATCAACATTGCCTCAGGACATTTTCCAGTTCAACCAACATCCTGTACAGCCGACTCAGAACTGCAGTTTATCAATCATGCTTTTCAGAACAATTCTCTCCCAAATCAGAAGCAAACAGTGGGAAATTTGGCCCATTTTGTGACCCATGAATGCCTAACATCCTTCACTGATTTATTTTTATTTACTTTTTTCTGCCCTGACATTGCTATCTTACCTTCAACACTATTTTTTATTTAAAAAAAGATTGTGTCCACATCCGGTGTAACAGCACAAGGACCCACTCTCAGCAAAACTGGTGGACAGTATTTTTTAAAAATCATTTAAAGATTCTGGGAATGCTCCCAAGAGAATACAGCAAATGAAACATTTCTTCAAGAAAATCTGCTAAAACTTGGTAAGAAAAGTCTGTGATACTTGTACCAAGACAACTCTCTCCCAACTCCTAGCTCAGCCAGAGAGAAACTCCATTCCGGATGAGCACAGGAATACAGACTTCCCTCTCTCCCTCTCGTCTGCCAGTCCGTGGGCTGGTTTCCCAGAAAAGCACATCAGCACTTCTCATCCCGACTCCAGCTACCTGATGCAAAGGCTGTTACAGGACAATACAGCTGAGAGGTGGGGGCGCCCTTCTCATGCCTACCCCTCCTCATGAAATGGAGACTACTGAGACTACTAGGGTCCTGACTGCCACTGCCCTAGCTCAGAAGGCCACCATGCCACCAGGAAAGGCAAGCCAAAAAGACCTGAGTCTACCGCCCCTCCCACAAGAGCTCGACTCCTAAAGCAGGGGTGTCACTCAGAGAAAAGCACATGACTGTTCCCAGCCCCAGAGCTGTGACTCAGATTTTGCTTGGGAGTGGAAGTAGGAAGAACAGACTGGAACGTGGAGAGCTCCAGACCTCTTCCCAAAGGAAATGACTTCATTTACAACAGTGTGGAGAATGAGAAGTTTCAGCCTAAGAGCACTTGCAGGAAAACAGTGAGGATGAGGTAAAAGGTAACTGGGAGGAGATGGGAAAATTCACTGGAGATACAGGTTGTGCTGTGGACCACTACTTGGTCTCAGAGAACCAAGGAAAGAGCTGAACGAAGTCGTCCTGGGGTTAGAAAAAAACCTCAAATAATGACCTCAGGAAGCAGCTCTTAAAGGGAGCCAGAATTTGATTGGACCAGTATGGATCAGCATGAAGCAACTTATGCCCAGGGCACTTCTGAGAGCAAGAGCAGTCCAGCTGGCAACTAGTGGAGCTGGACAGCTGGATGCGGAAAAAGACAATCAAGAGAGGCCTGTCCAAACCAACATCATCCCAGAGTGACTGTGGGCACACCCAGCGCTGCACCCCCAGAACAGCAGCAGAAGCTTCACAATGAGTGGGACTTCACGAACCAATCCAGCCAGTCACAAAACAGTAATGCCTAAGGCCACCTGTCTCTCTATATTCACCATACTGCATTCTACTTTCCTGTTTATATGTCTCTATCCTGTGAGCCTCTTGAAGACAGGCAAAACTGAGCCTCATTACTAACCACAGACCCCATGTGGAGTTGTGCAGACCCTGCCATAAATCTGATCCCCTTCCCAATCACTGCAGCTCCACTGACAGCCCCACTGCCTATGCAGCGTTGACAGCTTACTAACCACTAGGCCCCCAGCTTGGGCACTGGTCCCTAAGTCTTGCTGACTGCTATCAATACAAGTCTGCCGTGCTGGCCCTTCCTATTCATTCTCACCACCACCATCACACTCTCTTTATTGGTCTCCCAGTCTTCACTTTCTACTACTTCAAATAATGCTTTGAATGTTCATAGAACACTTTGCATACATCATTTCAACCCAATTTTCAATAATCCCTCATCCCAGGCAGCTGCGTTTCAAGCCCTGTAATGACAGTTCCTATTTACACACCCAAATGTTATGTCCCCATCACATCAGGCTGTGAGCTTGCTGAGGGAGGTACCTTCTCTCATCTCCTGTCTCAGCAGTGCTGAACTCCTGGAGTACACACTCTGACGTTTGCTGAGCTGCACTGGATTTATGAATCACAGAGATTTACATTGTTTTGCCTGCATCACTGCTCATGCCCTATTTATTCCTCTCTTGTTTAAAGGCCTAACACAAAGTACATACACCATATTATGTTTTATCGATCAAAAAACCATAGTAACATTAACACTGAAGGAAGCACTATTTTACTGTGAGCATCTACCTAAGACATTAACACAGCTTCCTGGGCCGACACCAGGCCTTACCTTCATCTGCGCCAGCTGCTGCTGTTGCTGCTGCTGCTGCAGCCTCCGTAGAGCCTCCTGCTGCTGCTGCCGCTGGCGCATCAACTCCTTGTGCCGCTGGAGCTCCAGCTCTTTCCTCTTCCGCTCTTCCTCCTCGTGCCGAAGTCTGGCTGCCTCCTCTTCCAATCGCAGCCGGTTCTCCTCTAATCGACGCTGGGCTTCTTCTTCTTCCCGGGCCCATTTTGCAGCCTCCTCTTCCTTCCCAGAAGGAAAGATAAAAGAGAATAAAATTTAATTGTGTGGTTTTTTAAAAAATCTGAATCACTTTTGAAGTGACAGAGAAAGGCATAACTTTATGATAATATAAGGTAGAGTCAAACTTTCTTTTAAAATACATTTACTGTAGCCACAAAGGCCTGGCATGCTTACAGGGTAAACTTTTCATTGATTTGCTAATTTCTACATCAAAGGAATGTCGCTTTGAACACCTGTGGTAAGTACAGATCTCCAAGAGATCATAACCAAATGCAGGAAAGTTTGCTGGGAACTGTTCCAACACTGAGGGGAAAAGCTGCCAGGACCTTGCAGGGAGGCTGATTATCAAGAAAGTCAGCCAGGCTGGACCAAAGCAACTTTACAAGATCACTCCATTCAGTTCCTGGTCCACAGGTCCACAGGTCCCTGGGAAGAACTCTCCTCAACTCATCCTCTACCCCTCTTGGCTCCCTGTAATGGCATAATGCATGGTTGGACTAGGATTAGATACTGCTAATTGTTGCATAAGCTTGGGACTATATTAAGCAGCAGTCAATTGTACACTTTAACAGAATAAATTGAGGCGCACCCTCAGGCAAAAGTTGTCAACTTGCAGATCTCACATTTGGTTTCCTAAGGGTATGTATTCTTCAGATTTCTTCACTGATGGTCTACTTTTTAGTTTGTTTGTTTTGCTTCTATAATATTTTGTTCAGCTTTTATAATTACACGTAGGACGTTTATCACAAAAGTAAGAAGAGCCAGTTAGGTCTCTTTTGGTAATTTTCAGCAATTTGAAAAAAAATGGGCTATCTGAACACTTTATCACTAATTTCCAGCTTCAAATAGCAAAGAGAAGAGTAAAACATCTGGTCACCTGTTTTCGTAACAACTCTTCCTGCTTCCGCCTCTCTTCTTCTTCTCTTCTCCTCTCCTCCAGTCTCCTAAGAGCTTCTTCCTGCTGCTGCCTTTCTTCCTCCTCTCGCTGTCGCCTTAATGCAATCTCTTGCTCCCTCTGGCGTCGCAAGGCCTCTTCCTATATTAACAGAAAAAGTGTGTGTGTGTGTGTTGTGGCAACTCTGGATCTCAATTAATGCATTACATCACAATTAGAAAAGAACAGGCTATATGCCACTAAGACTCTGTTAATAATAAACATAAAAAGCATACAGAGCAAAAGTATATATGTAAGTTGAGAAGTTGACACATTAAGAGTTAAAATAATTTGTGTCCTGGCCTGGTAGCTCAGTTGTTTGGAGCGTCATCTCATGCACCAAAAAGGTTTCCGGTTTGATCCCCAGTGGGGGTGTATACAGAGAGGCAATGAATCAATGTTCCTCTCTCTCTCTCTCTCTCTCTCTGTCTCTCCCCCCCCCTTCCCTCCCTCCCTCTTCTCTCTCAAATCAATAAAAACAGAAGATTTTTTAAAAAGTTAAAATAATTTGCATTTAAAATACAAACAGCACTATACTGTGAAGTCTATCCTGGCTTCCACATTAGCTACATTTATGATTACTCCTAGAAAGGGCCACATTAAGACTCAGCCTAGCCCTGGTCGGTTTGGCTCAGCGGTTAGAGCATTGGCCTGCGGTCCTGAGAGACCCGGGTTCGGTTCCCGCTAGGGGCGCATACCTCGGTTGCAGTTTGTCCCCGGCCCTGGTCGGTTGTGCGGGTGGCAGCCACTCGATGTGTTCCTTTCACATCGATGTTTTTCTCTCTCTCTCTCTGTTCCTCTCTCTCCCTCCCACTCTACCTGAACAAAAAATGGAAAAATGTCCTCGGGTGAGGATAAAAAAAAAAAAAAAAAGACTCAGCCTTAGTTTTCTCCATTGGTACCATCAGCCCCAATTTGTGTGTGTGTGTGTGTGTGTGTGTGAGTTAAGCTTCACCTGAGGATATTTTTCCCACTAATTTTTTTAGAGAGAGCAGAAGGGAGGGAGAAAGAGAGAGAGAAACATAACGTGAGAAACAGACATTGACTGGGTACCTCCCATACCTTCCCCAAATGGGGCCAGGGATCGAACCTGCAATCCAGATATGTGCCCTTGACTGGGAATCAAACCCACAACCTGTTGGTGCTTGGGCCAATGCTCTAACCACTGAGCAAAACCAGCCAGGGCAGCCCCGATTTTTTTTTTTTAATTTTTTTTGGTTAATCCTCACCTGAGGACATTTTTCCATTTTTTATTCAGACAGAACGGGAGGGAGAGAGAGGAAGAAAGAGAGAGAGAGAAACATCGACGTGAAAGGGACACATCGAGTGGCTGCCACCCGCACGACCCAACCAGGGCCGGGGACTAACTGCAACCGAAGTACGTGCCCTTAGCGGGAACCGAACCCAGGTCTCTCTGGATCGCAGGCCAATGCTCTAACCGCTGAGCCAAACCGGCCAGGGCAGCCCCAATTTTTTAATCAGCTGAAAACCTAAGGTATAGACAGGTCAAATCAACACAGCTACCAAAAATTCCTGGTGAGATAGAAATAAGTTCTCCAGTCAGTAGTAATGAGTAAAGCTATGTGTCCCAGAACAAAAGTTCCACAGGTATTAAGTATACAGGAAAGGGTCCCCTGTTAAAATAATTGAGGAAATACCGAGCATCACAGAATTACACAAATTTCCTTACTGCAATACTTCTTAGAGCCCTTACATGTTAATGTAGTGGGACTAAGAAGCTTTAGTAGTTCTGATCTAATCTCGGCACAGACTCTTGTTTCTCAGAGTACCTCCTATGGCCAACAAATAGGAAATGAGAAGTAAAGTTAGACTTTTGGGCTATTACAAAGAGGATTCTTTCCACTGGGATCTTGAAAAATCCCACTAGAAAATGGGCTAAGCACATGAATAGAAAACTCTGCACAACCCCACCCCCACCTCACCAAGAACAAATGGCCAAAAATCATGAAAAATATTCAGTGTTACTGGTTATGAACAGTTGGGCAAAGACTTAATTATTTCTGAAATCTAACTGGTTTGTAAAACCCCAGGAAATATGCACACAAAAAAATAAATTCTAATGTTTTACTAGGACTGAGGACTTTCCCTCCAGTGGGTATTAGTAGACAAGACACTCTTTCTAAAGGGTGTTCCAAGGTCCCAATCCCGTTGTTGACCTTGAATAAACTACTCCAAGAACCACAGCCTGTGAAATGATGGGAGCGAGCAGCCACCCTGATGGCCCTCCCTCGGCGCTAACCCTATGGTCAGAGGTAGGATTACCTGTTTCCTTCGGGCAAGCTCTTCTTCCTCTCGCCTTTTCCTTTCTTCCTCCTGCTGTCTCCGAAGGATTTCCTCCTGCTGTCTCCGGAGTTCTTCTTGCCTCTTTCGTTCTTCCTCTTCCCGTTTTGCCCTCATTTCTGCCTCTCTCCTCTCCTGCTCTAGCTGTAATTACACAAGAGCACTCTTCGACATTGGATGCCATGCACAGGGACACCCCAGCATCACTGACCAGCACTGTGGGGAGAAGCCAGAGTGCACAGGCACCACCATTTGCTCAGTTACTCCCACTGCCACAGGGCCAGGAAAGCAGCTTTATAAGAGCTCGAAGCTCTGATATGTCTCAGTGATCAGAACAGTTTTATGATCTTCTATCGTGGTGCACTCTCACCCCACTTTTCCCTGCCTCTTTGCTCCGTACCACCCCTGCACCACATTTCCTAGATGTGGAAGAGAAGGTAGCCAAGAGGAGAGTAACACAATTTTCTTGGGGTGGCCATTTCTCTGCTCATCCCACAAAAAGATTTTCTGATTGGAGATCTAACAATATGGCTAAAAGGCTCAAAAGCAATTTTGTAAAGCTACTGGTGTAAAAAATTATATAATTCTTTAAAATCTGAAGACAAACCACTTGACAAATTCTACCCTTTATATGTCCTTAATACTAGTCAAATACAGCACCCAGTCTCCAGCTCCATGGCCACAAGTGCAGTTCAGGCCTTCATTTTCTCATCCACACTCGTAAGAGTCTCTTATCTGGTTTCCCAGGATCCAGTTCTGCCCACATGCCCCAGCTCAACATCTAACCTCCACCAAAAAAAAAAAAAATCACTCCCAGGTTTACATCACATTTAAACCATCCTTCACCCAGAAAAGAAATCCTAACTTTACCCGGCCAGTGTGCTCAGTGGACTGAGCGTCATTCCACGGACTGAGAGGTCCTGGTCAGGGCACATGCCTGGGGTTGTGGGCTCAATCCCCAGTAGAGGGCATGCAGGAGGCAGCCAATCAATGTTTCTATCTCACATCAATATTTCTATCTCACATCAATGTTTCCATCTCTCTCTCCCTTCCTCTAAAACAATCAATGAAATATATATTTTTTAAAAATCCTAACTTTAACATGACATGTACAAGGCTCAGCACTGACCTGCCTCATCTCTTTAGTCTCCTCTCTCATCCATCATTCCTCAGACGCACCAAGGGTCCAGGCCAGACCAAAGTTCTTAGCTGTTTCCTTAGCCTGTATGTTCTGCATTTGCAAGCCTTTACAGGTGTTGTCTCCTTCAACTGCAATTTAAATTTTCCTCCTCCTACTCTGTCAGCCTAAAACCCTTTAACAGGATTACATCCTACTGTACTTCAAGTGAAAATTAACTCAGGTGTCACTGTCCATCACAAGTATCAGCCAATTTCTGATCGCCACCTCTCTAACAAGGTAGCTGGCCCACAATGCTTTCTTGACCTACTTGTTTGTGTGTCATCATCCCCCGTTAACACACAAATACACACACACACAAACATGCACGCACTCACACATGCACGACTTCAAGCTCTTGATTTCATCATCTATATGTTCCCAGTACAAAACACTGGGGAACTCGAACACATGCCAGAATTTTTTGAATTACGGTTTCTCATTTATGGAGCCAGACCCTGACCATGAATCCCTTCCTCATTCTTGGCACTCTAAGGAGACCATCACTACCTCAGGAGATACGACTACATTAAGTATAAAACAGGAACAAGTCTCTCAGAGGCATACAAACCCAGAAATCATTACAGTGACACTAAGTGCTGACAGACATCCTCTTCTGGCAAGTACTAAAAATCAAAATTCAAGATTCCTAGCTTCTCCAGATGTGAATGGATCACAGGATCTAATGTTCATGTGGAGCTCTCAGCTATGTGTCTGGGACACTAAGAAATGTAAACATCACTATAAAGATTCCAGGTGGGAACCGAAGCTACAGATCCTCTAATAAGCCATGTAGTGAGTATTTTCTTATAGTCTTATATTTGTAACAAGTATTTTCCACCATGAATAATGTAACTACAATATACATGACCATGATCATTAATGTGCCAACTAAACAATCAATTTTAATTGAACTTAAACTTTGTCATTTTAATTCTGTTCAAGGTTTTTTGGGGGATATATATTCACAGCATATGAATCTGCTTACACCCTCTAAGTAGCAGTAAACTAAAAGGGAAAAAATACAGCTAGCTAGCGATTTGGACATCGGTAAACAAATGCCTGTGCCCCACAGCTATGGAAGAATGAGCTCCAGACCTTTGCAGCTTTGGCCTTCTCCATCTGTTGAAGCTGTTCAAGAGCAGGTCCTGGAGTTGTGGTATCAAGGGGAAGATCCCATACACTGCCACCTTCCCAAACTATAAAACAATGAAGGAAAAAAGTGAGGATTTCACAGCTTACACATACAGTCACATATCCACGAGCATAACGAGAAAAGCTGTCTCCTTGTCCCCGAATGAGCTCCATCATGTGTATCTGTTCTGCATTGAAGTCAACTGAACTGCCAGTGGGCTCTAATTTACATCAATAACCTACAACGCATCTAGAAGGGAAGAAAATACCAGGCATTTATTGAAGAATTAATTTCACCCTCAAAAAACCCTGTAAGGTATCTGTTCACATCCCCCATTTTTACAGATGAACAAGCAAAGGGTCACAGGTAGTTCTATAACATTCCCAAAGACACAGGGCAAGCACATGATCATGCTAGGACTTAAATCCCACACTGTGTCACAAATCCCAAAGCCTACCCTATTTATTATAGTCACACCTCTTATTGCACCAAGTGGAGGATGGGGTTAAGAGGGGCAGAGCTGTAGAACTAGAGAAAACGAAGTGGTTGCACAATACCGTGAATGGATCAAATGCCACTGAGTCGTTCATTTAAAAATGGTTAATTTTGTGTTATATGAATTTCAGTTCAATAAAAGAGAGGGGAAAAAAAGAGAAAGAGGTACAGCTGGAGCTGGGGAGGCCTCTGGAAAGGCTAGGCAGGTCTCACCAACAACACTGGGTCCTGCTGACCCGAAAGGGTCAGATGTGGAAGTAAACAAACAGAAGGCTACTGAGTCTGCTATTGCCAGCAAGGTTTGCTTATATAACACTTTTCAGCATTCTCTATTCCCAACATTCCTATTATAGTCTGTTTATGGACTGTATGTTATTATCTACATAAAACTGGTGGAGTATTTGTAAAAAACCTGACTGCATCATACCCAAAGAAAGAAGTTGTTTAATAAAGTCCTTACAATTTCTCCAAAACTGGAGAGTATTTTAACATCCTAACTATAAGTGGCTGCCAAGAAGGTACACACAGCAAGGGAAGTTGATGAGGGAGGATAATCAGTCCTCCTTCTGCCATAATCCCCAGGGTCAATGTTAGCAAGAGAACTATGGCTAAATAGCTCAATGGCTCCAAGAGAACTCCAGCAATGCCCATAGTTCCTGAGAATTTTCAATGTACACTATAACTTCTTATAAGGACTACTCACCTCTGCAGGTATCAGACCTTAAGAAACAGAAGTGCTCCACCAACAGCGACTTTTAAAAACTCCCAGCCCCTGCCCTGGACGGTTTGGCTCAGCGTTTAGAGCATTGGCCCATGGACAGAAGAGTAGCAGGTTTGATTCTGGTCAAGGTCACGTACCTCAGCTGCAGTTTGGTTCTGGCCCTGATTGGGGTTTTGCAGGAGGCAGCCAATCAATGTGTCTCTCTCATATCAATGTTTCTCTCCTTCCCTCCCTATCTATCTGAAGATAAATGGAAAAATGTTCTCGGATGAGGATTTTTTAAAAAAGGAAGAAAATCCCAGCCCCCAATGTTTTAATTTGATGCAAAGAAGAAAAAAATTCAGAAAATGAGGTAAGATGTTCCCTTCAAAGCACGTTTTTCTTTTGCCCAAATTTCTGGGTACCTGCAGTGTTAAGCTATTTATCAACCCTTGACTTAGAGGAATAGATCGTCGTTACTCAGCTTGTACTTATGCTATTTTCCACTCTAGCAGAAGAGATAAAAAACGATTTCAAAGACACTTCCACACTGGTTAGAGCAACATTAAAAAGAGAGACTGACTCCAGTTCAAGAAATGTATCTAGCCCAACTGGTCTGGCTCAGTGGATTGAGCGACATCCCGTGGACTGAGAGGTCCTGGTTCGATTCACGGTCAGGGCACATGCCCGGGTTTCGGGCTCGATTCCCAGTAGGGGGCGTGCAGGAGGCAACTGATTGATGTTTCTCTCTCACATAGACATTTCTATCTCTCTCTCCCTTCCTCTTTCTCTAAAAAAATCAATAAAAACATATTTAAAAAAGAAATGTATCTACTAAATAATTTCTAGCAAATCCTTAGTCTATTTTGAATACTTTCAATCCTTTGCTAGGGTCTATTAAAGAGGGAAAAAAAGGACTTTTTATTAATATTCAGTACACAAAACAGGTTAAAAAAACTGATATATTTTTTAAAAAACTGAATTAAAAAGTTAGTTAAGTCTAAGTCCCTGGAGCTATGCTAAAGGCCAGTCTAAGATTTTACCTGCAGGCTGTGAGGCAGGTGGCTGAAGCTCCCAGATTGACCCAGTATCTGGCACTGACACAGATCTTGTCACTGAGGACATGACGCTCTGATCAGATATTCTGCAAAAAGGAAGTAAGATTAACTTCATCTTGTCATTTACAAAAGTAAAGAAAAAATTCTATAGTATTTGTAGGTTTTCCAGGTTATTTGGCCAGAAAACCCCACTGTTTTAACTAAATCATAACACTACCAAAGCACCTAATAGAGGAACAGAGATAGAGCACAATAATCACCCTCTGGACTCTTAAGGTCTTAACAAACACTAATTTCCAAATACTGAATGTACTTATTATCTTTAAAATCCACAACATCTCAACAAACAAACAAAAACCATAGATTCTAAGTCAAAAGGTTTGCATTGTAGTTCTGTCTCTGAAGTTTTCTGTGGATTATGCCAACCAAGTCCTTTAGCCTCTCGAGTCCCAGTTTGTCCATCTGTAAAATGGAGACCTTACCACCTGACAGGATGGGTTAAGGCTCAAAAGAGAAATATAGAAAGTTCCAGTCACACGGGACAGTAAAGTTTTAAAGAGCAGTGACTGATACGTTTGCAGAAGATAAAATAAGTACTACCCTGAATGATAATCTGCAACAGCAAAAATTTAACATAATTTCTAGCATAATTTTATTTTCCTCTGACCTACCTTAATAGCTTTTGGGTTCTGGAAAATTATAACCTTGTGTGGCATTGTTAATATCTGGAAATAGCACAAGTAAATATGAGATTCAACTTCTAGACTACAACTTTTTTGGTTGCTTCTCAAGTGTTATTCTTTGGTTATCATTACAAATTTATCCTCTGCATAAAAAGACCAAATAAATGTTTTACCTTCACCCTAATTATTTTTTTTAAAACTATATTCTGTTTTAGCACACCACAGTTTTCTGTTTTGTGTGGGTATTTTAATACCTGAGTTCACACATACCAATATTTACTTTCTCCCCCCCCCACCACCACACACACACACACACACACACACACACACACACACACAGTGACACATCATGGAATGACCACCAACCTCATCTTCAGCGCCTGGAATTGTTGGAGAAGAAGTGCCAACTGCTGTTGCTGCTGGGAAGACAGGGCTGCTTTCTGCTGCTGAGCCAAAACCTGTGCATACTGTTGTCTTCAAAAAGTAAAACAAAGTGTAACCTGTCTATCCATATTTAGTTCACTTTACTGAGACAACGAAAGACACAGTTTAATCTACCACCCCCAACAAAACACCATCAGAAACAGCTATCAAATGTATTTTACAATTCTCCATGAGAATAACAGTCACACAGAAAATTCTATACGTTATTCTACAAAGAACTGATAACATATTTCAAAGGGGGAAAAAAAAAATCACAAAATATCAAAAACTGGCAAATTCCTTCAAGATAATAGCCTTGTATCACAAAACAAGTTAAAAATAAAACATTCAATGGGGTTAAAAAAGGAGAAACATCTGTAACAAAAATTAAAAACAAATAATAATAATAAAAAATAAAACATTCAAATAGCTTTTTCCAAATGAAGCACCCTTTGCAAAAATCATTTGTATAAAAATTCTCAAATTTGTTTTTAGCTTGGAAAATTTTAGGTAAAATTGCCCTGGCCAGTTTGGCTCAGCGGTAGAGCATCATCCCTCAGCCCAATGAATCTCAGATTTGATTCCAGTCAAGGGCATATACCTTGGCTGCAGTTCGTCCCTGGCCCTGGTCGGGGTTGTGCAGGAGGCAATCAGTCGATGTGTCCCTCTCACGTCGATGTTTCTCTCTCTCTCCCTCCCTCTCTCTCCCTCTTTGCCTCCCACTCTGTCTGAAGGTAAATAGAAAAATATCCTCAGGTGAGGATTTAAAAAGAAGTAAAAATTTTAGGTAAAATTATTTTCCATTAGATCAGAGGTAGACAAATTTTTTTCTGTAAAGAGCCAGACAGTAAATATTTCTGGCTTTGCAGACCATACACAACTATTCAATGCTGCCATCTTTGTTCAAAAGCAGCCATTGACAATATACAAACCAACTGGTGTGGCTGTGTGCCAATAAAATTCAGCTTATAAAAACAGGTAGGCTGCCAAACTCTGCACAGATGACAGCCAATCTCATCTCTTCTGCAAAAGGAACACACACCCTATGTAATTCTGCCATCATTCCACAGCACTCTAACAGTATAAACTTCTGCTTCTTTCCTGTCCTCTCGTCTGTTTTTCCTCTGTAGCACTCAAAGTTGAGCCATTTAGAAGGCATTTTAATTCTTAAAATGTCTGTTGCTTTAAGAGCTGAAGAGCTTGACAAATTACAGTTATGGGTCATCTTTTGCAAACTTCTGGTATTTAAGAAAACCAAACTTAGTGGTAACATGCCACTAGCCAAGTAACTGAAATATGCTAAAACTTTTAGTTTCCTGTTGTAAAAGGTGAAACTTGTGAGCAGATGATGTCAAAGGCCCTTTTGCTGCTGCAGTACACCCTCTATGTTATTCCCTTACTGTATTAAGAACTGCTGGTACTGGAGGTGTTGCATCTGGTATAAGGCCGTGAGTTCCTGCTGCCTGGTGAGTCGCTCCTGGTCCAACTCTCCCTGGGAGTGAAGAGATGGGAGAGGAAATACCGCTGAGTCAATTGCAAAGAGCCTAAAAGCCATTTAGTACTAAAAGCAAAATGAATTCCAGATCTTTGCTTCCCCTCCACCTTTACACCCAAAATGCTCAACTATAAAACACTCAGGCATCTGTAAAAACTAAACAGTGACATCTAGTGGAAGAAAGTGGTGTCTGCATAAGAGATCCCTAAGGTGGGAAAGGGTCCTTATTTAGCTGCTGTTCTCCCTCCCCTTCTGTCCTTGAAGCTGAATGTTATACTGTAACTACTGCAACTAAAAAATGTATAATTCTCCTAATATTAAAAGTGATTTATAAATTTTTAGATCATCAGAAATTAAAGAAATGGGACAAACAGAAACGAGTAAAATTATCTAAAGTTTAAAGGAAATGGCACATAATGAATACAGGGAGCCAATATGTATGTATGTCTTCTTAAGATGATGATAAATTTTAAACACAACATAGAAGAGTTTTGAAAACTATAACTCCCTACCCTCAAATTAGTTTTTTATACTGTTATTAATACATCATAAGTTAAAAAAATAAGCTGCAGTAAAACTGTTTTATTAGCCTATATTTCAAACAACATGGCAGGAATTTACATTTGAAAAGCTAAAAGTGAGAAAAATAAGAAAAGTATAAGATAACAGAAATAAAGTAGTCCCCCTTATCCACAGTTTGACTTTCTGCAGTTTCGGTTACATGTGGTCAACCATGGACCAAAAATATTAAATAAAAAATTCCAGAAATAAATAATTTATAAGTTTTAAATTGTGCACCATTCTAAGTAATATGATGGAATCTCGCACCATCCCCCTCCATCCCACCTGGGACGTGAGTCATCCCTCTGTCCAGCTGCTACCTTCCAGTTAAGTCACTTAGTAGCTGTCCTAGTTATCAGATTGGCTGGAGAGGAGTGGGGGACACCACATTCAAATCACTTTTATTACTGTCTACTGTTATAACTGATCTCTTTAATTATTAGTTACTGTTGTTAGTCTCCTACTGTGCCCAATTTATAAATTAAGCCCTATCATCAGCTTATATGTATAAGAAAAAACATGGTATATACAGGGTTTGGTACCATTTACAGTTTCAGGCATTCACTGGGGGTCTTGGAATGTATCTCTTACAGGTAAGATAGGACTACTGTAAAAGTATATGGGTGATATAGACTAAGTTTATATCTTCATAGTTTGGAATAAAACACCTAATATACAATTTCTTGGCCTACAGAATCATCTAAAATTTAGAAACATCTTTTTTCTCATTAAATATCAAAGCTAGATAGAAGATATGCTAAGTTAATCTAAAATTTCTACATGAAAATGTAGGTTTCAATGTATATTCATCACCAAGGTGAACTCTCCTATCAGTGCTATTCAGGGCAAAGGCACCAGCTGACAGGAAGCAAGAGCTTCCCACGGTTTTACCCCGTAAGTGAATCTGACTGAGGCTCAGCCTTATAACTGGAAGTCAGGAAAAGGACTAGAGAAAATATGCTAAACTCCAAGTAATGAACTTTCAGCTCTGAAACACACGAGATAAAAACTCATCCCAATTTCAAAGGAAAATAAAGCTCAAACTTGGCATACAAGTTAGATTTATATACAGTAATACACAGAATAATTCTTTGGATTTAGAACCGAAATAATTCCCCTCACCCAGGAATGTTCACTGCTGTCCAAACTATAGGTCTCAACTAATCAGTGGGTTGTGAAACCAATTACTGGGTCAAGCTCAACATTTGTATATTTAAAAAAAAGAAAAGAAACAGAACAGAAAATACGTGCATAACAACATGTTTTGTGAAACTTGTTTCTCATATATACACACGCATGCACAGACAAGTGATGTAAAGCTTTTTTTACTATGGGCCATGGTCAAAAAAGTTTGACAGCCACTATTCTCATCTATGAACTCCCTCAATCTTATTCATTCTCATCTCTTAAGAACCTACCACAAGACCTGGCACAGACCCTCAACCTACAGTTAATGAATAAATCAATGGTGGTGTCACTGTAGAAATCCGGTGTTCACACTGAAGGTTTCTAACTATGGCTACTTTTGACTACGGCCAGTAACCAGACACTCCTACCTGGAGAAGGAAAAGTAAGGCACAGATCCAAAGCCCTCCAAGAGGAACTCTACGAGGAGAGGGTCAGGAGCAGCTGCAAAGGAGTATGATTTCCCGTTCAAACGTACTCTAGGGCCCCTATAGGAGGGGGAGGGGGCTACATTATGACCCAATTTTTAGTTACAATATCAGTATCTACTATTAAAAGAAAAGTTTCCAAAATATATTCTGAAGCACTGAACTTCTATATCAGTAACATTTACTTTAAGGTACACCTCAAATTTAGGAACTGTATGAGTCAAAAAGCAAGAAGCAAATGGAAGGGAAGAAAGAAAGAACATGCTTTCTAACTAGAGGCAACAGGAACTCTCAGTCAAGTGTGCTGAAGCAAAGGAGACTGACATGAGCTTAGGAAGGTGAGGAGCCAGAATATGTAAGCCTGGTAGGTGGGCCAAACTAAGATGTTCTTCATTCTACATCTACTGGAGAGCTACTGAAGAGAGGAGAGAGAGAAGAGAAAGAAAAAAAGAGGAGAAAGCAGGGAGGGAGGGAGGAAATGTGTGTGTGTGTGTGTATATGTGTGTGTGTGTGTGTGTAGATGGGCACAGGTATTTGAGTTTTGAAAAGATTATAGCTAGGTGTGAAGTCTCCGATTAAGACTTTCCGTTGCCTTTCAATTATTTTAACTACAGTTTTTTCCTCATTAGATGCAACATCTGGGTTGTGTTCACAAAAAGAAGCAAGTGCTTCTGTGTCTAATACGTTTTCTGGGTGAGCTGTAAGGTACTTACCATATGAGGAGGGGGTGCAGGACCAGAAGAGAAGGGAACCCTTCCCCACATTTTCATGATATCACCAAGAGGCTGGAAGCTTTCATCACATGCTCTCTTCACCAATAAAGACATAGTAAAATAGCCCGCCTGAAACCATTCAGCCATCTCCTGGTTATTGAAGGGACCTACAATAACATCAATTAAAACATAAGGGCAATTAGAATCCTTTCAAGCTAAAGAGGAAAAAATTATTTTCTGGGTTTGATCCTCATCCAGAGGTTAACAACTTGTTTCAGGTGGTACCTGTCAAATAATTTCTAAGATAACTTAATTCCTCTCCAAAGGTGGTAAACAGGCTTCTAATAAAATACAATGAAAAAGATTTCAAAATAAGCCTTATGTCTACACATCCCAAATTTTCAGCAGTGCTTTAATTATTTTAAAGATCGTAACAGTCTCCAAGTCAATCTCTATAATTCATTTGTCAGAGAAGATATAAATAAAACTGCAAAGAGTTAGTATTTGTTAGACTTTGTATCATTTAGTAGCAGAGAATATAAACATGCAGGGGTGAATACACCCTTCTCTAAATTTTCATTTTCTGTCAGAGATTACTGAAGGTTAGGCAAAATGTAAACAATAATCAATTAAAATAAGACAAACCATAACATATTTACCCAGGTTAAGGAGGCAAAAAAACCAAACTAACACTCTCTAGATGTTTTAAGTAAGAAAGAATCAAATACTTTATACAAAACAACAACAACAACAACAAAAACTAAAAAATACAATCTGCTCCCTAATCATTCATTCATTCTGTCAGCAAATATTCACTGAACACCAATTGTATGCGTCCAGGCAGTGGCAATACAGCAATAAACAAAGCCAAGTCCTGGATCTTCCACTTCCAGGAAGATAGAATAGATGTACTTCTCCTGTTAAATACAACTAAAAACCCTGAATATTATATATAAGACAAACAGAAGAGGACTCTGAAAAGTGGAGAGAAGGCAGCAAATTGACTAGAGGTCTTGAGGCTTGATTTACTGGGTTTTCATTTTACCACATATATCCCAGAACCCAGCAACAAGAAACATGACCCAATATACAAAATTAAAAGCATGACCCAATTATATGCTGTCTACAAGAAAGTCATTTCAAATATAACAATACAAGCAGGCTGAAAGTAAAGGGATAAAAATATTTATCATACAAACATTAATCAAAAGAAAGCTGGAGTGGCTATATCAGTATTTGACAAAGCAGACTTCAGAACAAAGAAAACTACAGAGACAGGGACATTATATAATAATAAAGGGTCAATCACCAAAAGCACATAGCAATCATAAAAGTATAAGCACCAAACAATAAAGCTGCAAAATATGTGAAGCACAATCTGGTAGCTGAAAAGAGAAACAGACAAATCCACAACAAGTACAGTTGAAGACTTCAACACCCCTCTCTCAATAATTGATAGAACTAGATAGGAAATCAACAAGACTGCAGAACTTAACACCATCAACCAACAAGATCTGAGATTTATAGAATATTCCAAAAATTGCAAAATATACATTCAAGTTCCCCCAGAACATATTACAAAAATAACTATATTCCGGGCCATAAATAAATCTCAATAAGGTTTTAAAAATTAAAACTATATATAGTATATTCTTCAACCACAACAGAATCAAACCAGAAATAATACACAGAAATATAACAGGAAAATCTTCAAGCACTTGGAAACTAAACAACACACTTCTAAATAACAAGGGGTGGGGGCAGGTACTGGGAGGAGGAGGGCCAAGGTGGAGGGTAGCCTATTAATACTGCCAACAATAAAAAAAGAGGGGAAAAAAACCCCAGCAAACTGAATAAAAACATGTATATCAAATTTTGTGGTACACAGTTAAAAACTGCTGAGAGAAAAATTTACAGTATTAAATGCTAACAATAGAAAAAAGGAAGACCTTCAAATCAATAATATAAGCTGCCACCTCAGACTAGAAAAAGAGCAAAATAAACCTTAAGATGGAGAAGTGAAGAAATAATAAAGAGCAGAAATCAGTAAAATTGAAAAGAAAAACAACAGTACAAGGGGAAAATCAAAAGAAGAAAGCTATTTTTTTTTTTTTTTAAGATCAGTAAAATTAACAAATCTCTAGCAAGACTGACAAAGAAAAAAGAAAACTGAACAAATTACCAGTATCAGGAATAAAACAGAGGCTATCTCACTACAGAACCTGCAGACATAAAAAATAATAGTAATACTTTTATCAAAAAGATACTACTATTAGCAAAAGGATAACAAGGGAATACTCTAAACACAAAAATCTGACTATTAGATGAAATGGTTCAAATAATCAAAAAACACAAACTACCACATTTCATCCATAGTAAATAAATAATTTAAATAGGATATTGAATTTGTAAGTTCTTAAGATTCCCGAAAAAGTCTCTAGATGGCTTACCTGGAGAATTCTACAAAATATTTAAAGAATTAATACCAATTCTAAACAATCTTTTCCAGTAAATAGAAGGGGAGGAAATAATTCCCAGTTCCCTTTACGAAGTTAATATTACCCTGATACCAAAACCAGAAAATGGGGGGGGGGGGACGACCCACGACAGAGCAACATCCCTTATAAACACAGATCAAAAACTCTTTAACAAATATTACCCAATAGGATTCAGCAATATATAAAAAGAGTACATGTATATACACACACACACACACACACACACACACAATGACCAAATGGAGTTCCAAGGATTCAAAGCTGATTCAATATTCAAAAATCAATCAATGTAATCTACCATACATACTAATTTTCTAAAGAAAGACAATCGCATGATTACATCAATAGATGTAGAAAAAAACATTTGACAAAATCCAATACCTAATCATGATAAAAACTCTTGAAAAATAGGGTACGTCAACTTAATAAACAGCATCTACAAAAACCTAGCAGTGCCCTGGCTGGTTTTCTCAGTGGTTAGAGCATCACTCCACAGACTGAAGGGTCGTGGGTTTGATTCCTGCCAAGGGCATGTACCTGGGTTGCAGGTTTGATTCCTAGACCTGGTCGGGGTCATGCAAAAGGAAACCAATCAACATGTTTCTCTTAACATCAATATTTCTCTCTCCCTATCTCCCAATCTATCTAAAAAATTTCAATGGAAAAATATCCCTGGGTGAGGATAAAAAATAAACACACACACACACACACACACACACACACACACACACTGCTCAAAAAAAAATCAAATACTTAGGTGTAAATCTACTAAAACGTGCAGCATTTATGCTGAAAATTACACAGAACTGATGAAAGAAATCAAAGATCAAAATAAATCGAGAGACATACCATGTTCATGAATTAGAAGATGAAAAAGATGTTGATTCTCTTCAAGATGATATAGAGATTTAATGTAATTTCTATTAAAATCTCAGCAAGATTTTTGGTAAATATAAATAAGATTATTCAAAACTTTGTATAAAAAGGCAAAGGACCTAGAAAAGCTAAAAACTATTTTGAAAAGAAAAATAAAGCGAGAGGAATCAGTCCACCCAATTTCAAGACTTACATAGCTGCAGTAATCAAGACTGTGGTATAGGTGGAGAGACACACATAGGTCAGTGGAACAGAATGAACCCAGAAACAGACCAACACAAATATGCCCAAGTGAATTTTCAAAAAGGTACAAAAGCAATTCAAGGAGGAAAGATAACCTTTTCAACAAAAGGGGCAGCTGGACATCCACAGGCAAAAGAAGTAAACTTAAGGTTTATTTATACAGAAATTAACTGAAAGTAGATCATACACTTGGATATAAAACAGAAATGTATAAATTGAGGAAGGGGAGGAAAAAAAATCTTTAAGATCAGAATCTAGGCAAAGAGTTCTTCTTAGACTTAATAACAAAAACACAATCTGTAAAAAAAAAAAATTGACTTCATTAAAATTTAAAACTTTTGCTCTGTGAAAGACTGTTCAGGATAAAATATACAGGTTGGGAGAAAATATTTACAATCTATGTATTTAACAAAGGACTAGTATCTGGACTATATAAAGAACTCTCAAAATTCAAAAGCAAAAACAATCCAATTAAAACAGGCAAAAAACATGAAGAGACATTTTACTGAAGAAGATAAATAGTCAACAGGTATATAAAAAGATATTCAACATCTTTAGCCATTAGGGAAATGTAAATTAAAAACTACAATGAGCGCTGGCCAGTTTTGCTCAGCGGTTAGAGCATCAGCCTGCAGTCCAGAGAGACCTGGGTTTGGTTCCCGCTAAGGGCATGTACCTCGGTTGCAGTTTGTCCCCGGCCCTGGTTGGGTCATGCGGGTGGCAGCCACTCGATGTGTCCCTTTCACATCGATGTTTCTCTCTCTCTTCCTCTCTCTCCCTCCCACTCTATCTGAACAAAAAATGGAAAAATGTCCTCCAGTGAGGATTAAAAAAAAAATACACACATACATACACACAGATGTGTGTGTGTATATATATATACATACATATAAATAGAAACATCACAAAACCCTATAGAGGATGCAGACAATCTGGATCACATATAGATTACTGGTGGAAATATAAAATGGTTCAAGCCGTCCTGGAAACCAGTTTGGCAATTTCTTTAAAAAACAAAATATGTAATTACCAAACAACCCAACAATTGCACTCATGAACGTATTTATCTCAGAGGACTAAAACTTGTGTTCACATAAAAACCTACCTATAAATGTTTAATAAGCTTTATTATAATAGCCAAAATCTAGAACAACCCAGATGCCATTCATGTGTGAAGTTAAATTATGATATGTCCATATCATGGAATACTAAATTAAAAGAAACAAACCACTGACTTATGTAACAAACTGAATGTATCTCCAGAAAATCATGCTGAGTGAAAAACCCCGACCCGAAAAGTTACATACTGTATGAGAATCCATTTATGTAACATTCTTGAAATGACAAAATACAGAAATTGGGAACAGATCAGTGGTTGCCAAGGGTCAAGAAGGAGGAGAAGGGGGTGTGGATGGGAGAAGAATTGGTGTGGCTACAAAAGGGCAACACAAGGGGTCCCTGTTGAGATGAAAACACTGAACTTAACTATGTCGATATTCTGGTTGTGATACTGTACTGCAGTTTTGCAAGTGGTATACCTGGGGGAGACTAGATAAAGGGTATGTGAAATCTCTGTATTATTTCTTACAAGTGCATGTGAAGCAACCATTACCTCCAAGTAAATTTAATTAAAACACACATCCATATGTATTTTTATTAAAATCCTGCTCTTATATACTTTACATTCTATAGATCATGAACAAATACATACAGTGCCAGGTAGTGATAGATGCTATGAAGAAGAGTGAAGTAGATTAAAGGTACTGAGAGTAGAAAAGGAGCCATTACGTTCGAGAGAGGTCATTTGGTTAAACATCATCATGAAACTGACACTAATAGAGTCAAACAATTTCAGGTTTTTAGCATAGATTTCAAAAGCAGAGATGAAGAATCAACAAATGTTCTTTACTGCATTCTCTCCCCATTCTAATTTAACTTATGCAGCATACAAATCTTTTAAAGAATTCATTTATAACATGGTACTACCTCTTCTTAAGACATTTTAAATAGTTTTTTTTATCATTTATATCAACTCCTCTTCAGCGAAACATTAAAGCACAGTCTTCCAAGGTTGCTGCCATCACTTTTTTATGGAAAGAAGACTGAAATAGGGAGAAGGTAAGAAACTCAACCTGCCTAGTTAACCAGCTGGCATGCCAGAAATGAGGGGGTCTTAAGCATTATGCTTATATCCCTATCATATTAGCATGACATTCTGCCCTGTATTCAAATTCTTTTCATTATTCCCCCCACTGAAATAATAAAGTACTATGGGAGGAGCCCATAAAATTGCCTTGTGTGTATGTGTGTGTGTGTGTGTGGGGGGGGGGGTGTTTGTGTGTAGATAGATAGGTAGATAAATATATAAATATATATATATATATATATAGAAAGCCTATAGTTTTGACTTCCTTTTGTACTACTATGAAAATTAACATTAATCACCATCTTATAGAATCTGGAGGTAATGGCAGACACTTCTGTACTTAAAGTAAAACAAAACAACCTACCCTGAATTTCTCCCTGAGGATCTTTGTAATACCATTTCTGCATTGCTTCGTGCATGGATGGAACTGAGACTCCCTTAGCTCTGTGTTCTTGCAGTTTGGGTGCCAGTCTCTCATCATCTAGTGCACTATCTTGGAGATAAGCAACCATCTTCTCAGCTTGCTAACAGAAAATCAAAAAAAGGAAATAAATTATCCCAACATAATACTTGTATGTATACATAAAAAATGCCTACCTTTTTGGACTACTTAATCTGTGAAAGACATTATGCAAAGAACACAGTAGGCAATGATTTAATTTTTCCAACAATGCCATGAAACATACAATACTATCCCCCATTTCACAAAGGGTTCGTGAAGTCTTACTCAGGGTCTCAAAATTATTAAGCAAAGTGAACTAAAATTACAACACAAACTGGCATGGATCAAGCCCAGGCTTCTAACGAACACACTAATCAGAGTACTTTTTAAAAATTATAAGCCATTGGTCATTCCTACATTGTATAGACTAAACCTGTAAAAACATGTATGTTAACAGAACAAAAGGCTCCATTAGTACAATTAACAAATAAAATCTTCTAGAAGTTTTACTAAGACATTGCCCCCTTTCTTCCTTTCTCCAGCATTTCCTGTCCATAACCACCCCACTCTGAAGTAAAGATAATTTCTTCTGCAGAAGGCAAGCTATCATTTACTTTGCATATACACAATCGTATATACAATCTTAGAAAAATCTAGAAACATGAATAAGATATTAATTTACTAGTTTAACTATTTTCCCTGTTATACTTTAGGCAAAATAAAGAGAAGACACAGTACCTATCCACAGCACTTGTATTCACTATTTCTGGCATTCCATTAATTTCCAAAGAAAAAAGAAAAGCAAACAGCTAAAGGCAATCTCAGAAGAGCAAAAAATAACCTGACATAATGACTACTACATAGCAGAAACTTATAAGCATGAAATTATTTGAAAGACAATTACTCATACAAATAAATACTAGACAAACAACTTTTCCGGTGCATAAAATCTGGTGCACAAAAGTCCCATTTTTGAATATTCATTTAAGGCCTTTGTTTTTTATTGCAGTTTGAGAGGAGAAAAAAAGGTGATTTTTACCTGCTCCAAATGCTTGAGACCCTCTTCATCATCTGGCTCCGTGGAAACACTGCCCATGCCCGGAGCACCTATGACTGGAGTATCACCTGGCCGGAGGGCAGGGCTAGGACTGGGAAGAGGAGGTGGAAGGATGAGGAGAGGAGAGGCTGCATCGGAAGGAATCTGAGACAGAGGCTGCTGTACGTCAGGAACCATTTCTAGAGGGAAAAAATGTAGAAAGATGAAAACCTTTTAATGAAATACAGAGTATTTTACCCCAAATGGGCTCGATGGAAATGTGAGCTGTGTCATGAACACTGCAGCTACTTCTGAAGGAGATATGCAGTATTTCTCTGCAGAATGACAGAAGTACTTCCACAGAATGACAAAATATAAGGATTAAAAGGTATCCAGAAAGGCTTTCTACAGTGCTTACCCGCGTCACCTGAGCATCTATCTACCCAATGGTTATGGGTCTACCTCTTGAAAACAGACTGAGTCAGTCTAATCCCTTCTTTATATCATGTCTTGGAACAGTAGAGACAGTTAACAAAGCAGTGCAAATCTTCTCAAAGATGGCATATCTCACCACCAAAACCTGTATTAAAAACATCTGCAGTGGTCTTGAATGAGTACCTTCTCAAGTCATAATTAATATAACTCAATACGTTACATTTTGTAGGACACTGAAAAACATTCGGAGTCTACTTGTACAGTGCAGGAAGTTGTTCTCAATAAGAATAAAGACTGCAAAAGAGGTTCTGTGTTGGTTCCTATTTCTAACCTACCAGGACGCAGGCTCTTAAGGAAAGGGAGCTGGAACTAATTAGATACACTTGCAGTTTCCCCTTTGAAACCTTGTTTGTTCAATTACAGATAGCTTCTCTAAATTCCTCTCACTCTTTCCTTCCTTTGCCAAATTTTTTCAAAGGACAGCCTATATAAGCTGTGTCCACTTCACCACCACCCACACCTGCTACACTGTGGATGCCACTCCCACACCTCCAGTAAAGCTTCTCTCCCAAAGACAGGCAGTGACCTCGAGTCTCCAAATCAATCCAGTGTTTTCCTCATTCTCGTCATCCAACCTCTTAGTAGCATCTGACATCATCCACCCTATTCCAAGCTGAAAACGTTCTCCTTCGTTTTCTTGCACTCTACATTTGCCTCTGAAGACTTTTCTCTGGCTTCTCTTTATCCTCTAAAAATCAGAATCACAGTTGAAAAAAAAAATCGAAATTACTCAAAGTTCTATTCTCAGTCCACTTTTCTTTTTATCCCTAACAAGTATATGTAACTTTTATATTTTTATTCTCTCTCTGGCCTTAAACTCTTTCTTTCTCTGCAATCACACAAATGCTCTCTAGCCACTTCTAGCTAATTTCTCATTAACATCTCAGAATCAATATTCAAAACTGAATTTACTGCTCTCCCCTTCCAAATGTGCTCCTCAACTTCTATTCTTTTTCTATTAATGGTAGCATAATCCTCTCAGGCACCTCACTACTCATCTTTGACTCTTCCCTTTCCTCTGCCCTGACATACAAGCAATGACTATGTCCTGCCAATTTCTACTCTGAAATCTCATCTGCCCACTCTCTCCCTTGACAGGCACAATGCCCCCAACATAACGACTACTTGGGAGCCCAGCAGGTCACTATGCACCCACCTGCCATCACAACAATCTACCCTACATAAGCTGTCAGAAATACGTTCCGATGTTTCTCACCATTCTTCTTTCACACCTAATGCTTCCTCTAAATAAAAACAGGAGCTGGCCCAGCTGGTGTGGCTCAGTGGTTGAGCATCAACCCATGCACCAAGAGGTCACTGGTTCGATTCCCGGTCAGGGCACATGGCCAGGTTGTGGGCCTGATCCCCAGTGCAGGGGCATGCAGGAGGCAGCCAATCAACGTACTCTCTCATCAATGTTTCTACCTCTCTCTCCCTCTCCCTTCCTCTTTCTCTAAATTCAATATGAAAAAAATTTTTTAAATAAATATAATAAAAACAGGAGCTGATTCCTGCCCATACCTGGATCACTTGAGTTTTCAATGCTACCTAGTATGACAATGCACTTTCCCAATTCATCCAGCCACACCTACCTCCAAATTATACTTATTATTTCAAGACAAACTCAAAGACACTTGCTCCCTGAAGCACTGCAAGAGTCTGCTAATCATGAATTCAAATAGTTCCTTTTTGCCCTAGATTACTGATACACATGCTTTATCTGCCCCAAATCCAGAATTCAATCTTTAATGCATATCTATGAAGATTTCTCAAAATACACATGTATTTTGACCCCATCCTAAAATTTCAAAATGTACAAGTTCTACAGTACCTGGTATAAATAGTAGAGTGTCTAATACTTACTGAATTCACTCATTCAGCTTTGTTTTAGACGTAAAAAACTAAAAAGAAATCTTTGATTCAAGCCCTCAAAATACTAGTTTATTGGGCAAAAAAGATCACCAGATCTTTATAATATTGTATTGCTATTTTAGAAATGTTTAAGAAACAAGACACCTAACCCAGCTTGGGAACGTGAGGTGGGAGGAGAGGTCAGGTACAGAGAACAGCATGTGTGCTAAGGCACAAGTCAAGAGAACAAAGCACCCTTCAGGACCTAACAGGCTGTGAGGCTGGTAACTAGAGTACGAAGGAGACAGAGACTGGTGCTGAAACTGCACAAAGGGAAGCAGAAACCTGATGGTGCAAGGTATCAGAGGCCATGTTAAAAAGTGTGAATTTCTATGGCGAATGACTCAACCTTTCAACACCAGGCCTTACAATGTCATTTTTTAATATGTACAAGAAACATGGAACTAAGTATTAGTCCTGGCTGGTTTGGTTCAGGGGTCAGAGCATCAGCCCAGGGACCAAAGGGTCAAGGGTTTGATTCCCAGTCAAGGGCACGTGCTGGGTTGCAGGTTCCATCCCTGGCCCTGGTCAGGGTCATACTCAAAGCAACCAATAGGTGTGCCTTTCTCACATCGATATGTCTCTCTCCCTCCCTCTCTTCTACCCTCTCTAAACATCAATGGAAAAATTTCCTTGGGTGAGGATTAACACACATGCAAAATGAGGAAATAAATATTAACATTGGTTACTAAGGTATATAAGCAACTCAAAATCAATACAGTACCGTTGGAGAAGGAGATATACTTTAAGCTTATTCTAACTAGCAAAGGTGATGGGAATCCCAGATTCATCTGTGTTCTTTCTGGCCTCTTTAGGAATAATGGCATTTTGGTGTGTCATTTGGATACACATAGTCTTTACAGGAAAGGAAGGTACCTGATATGAGAATCAAACTACTACAGAGGATAACAAATCCAGTTAGCTCAACTGATACCAGAGTGGCTATGTCATAACATCCTAGGAAGTGACTCCTGAGCTCCGCCCCTGCTTCCTCTGTTTCGGTGAATTCTAGAATGGACACAGGTGTGGGAAGCAGATTCACCAGTAAAATAATGTATGCTGATAATCTACTACTAGAAGCAGTTCTAGGAGGTATAAATAGTAGCCTATCTTATCTGTCAGCCAGTGATCATGGTCCCAGCAGAACCCTATTTTAGCTTGACACCTCTCCTAAATACATACCGTCCCCTCTGCTGGGCACTTTGGTTGGCAGACTATTTTCCGTCCGACTCTCTTCTTCAGCTTTTTCTGGCTGCTCAGCCTGGGGTTCCTCTTTCCTCTCAAACTGTGGTGCTTCCTGAGGCGGGCGGTCTGGAGGGGAACCTGGTCTAGCAGATGATGCTAAGATTTGGGGTGTTTCCTCACTAGCTTCTGTAAATGAAGTAATCTTAAATTAACAATTTAGGAAACTTTTGGTTCAACAGAAAAAAAGATAAAGACAAAACTGCACCTTACCGACGCCTACTCTGTCTGTCTTCTCTCCCTCTCTCTTATTTGTCTTATCAGGTTCTTTGGCTTCTTCACTATGGCTGCCCTCGGAGTCGGAGCACTCCTCCCCTTCCTCTACGGGCCGGAAGTCCATCTCCTGCTCTTCCGGAATAGGCTCTTTCTGTACTTTCTGTAGCAAAAAAGAAAGCCAAAAGTTAACAGCACATGAATTTGGTAGAAGGTCAGTGCCTGGCATGATATTTCAAACCAAGCTCTTACCTTCAGAGAGAGGAATGCTCCAGAGGAGTCAAATGTGCCCATTTCTTCCTCAGCATCCTCTAAGCACCACTCAGGCAAGCTGTCCCTGTCATCGTCAATGCTGCCGCTGCCGGTGCGCACCCTTCGGTAGCCCCGCTCATCATCCCGATCTCGAAAATCAAACTCAAACCTTCGCCGTCGTTCCATGTGTTCCCGCCAGCCTGCAGAACGAGGGCCATCTGGGATCAGGAGGAGGACACAACCCTTAGAAAAGTTTTGTGACAGTATTGAAAAAAAAAATGATGGATAGGAAATAAAGGAAAAAACTACAACTGAGAAAGCAAATTCAAATGGACCAACCAACTAAACAGAAAACTAGGCAAATCACATGAAGTTCAGAGCTGAGCATATGTACACCAACACTAAGTGACAGTGGCTGCCTTCATTAAAGTACCGAGCCACAAGGCTCTACGGCTGTTAGAGATACATTTAAAACATCACTTTTAAAGGACATTTTATTCAAAGCATATACTTTTAATAAGCTTTAGGTATCTGACTGAAATGTTGATTAACCTACTCCTAGCTCAGACTTAGCACTGATATCTTCCCACACTGATGTCCATGTGTTCCCTCTGGCAGGTCTTTGAAGCATTTCTTTCTTCTCCTGAAAATATCATTCTTTATGAGTAAGACCAGTTCCATGTGACAATTCATATCAAAATCATCGTGCCTACCTGCTAGTGCCAAGATCTCATTTATAATTCTGATTCCTAACAAAAAGTCATGAATTACAGCACTGGCAGCCATCACAGAGATTTTATATAGTCCACCATCCTAAGTTTATAATTTACAAAACTTCTGCCCTGGCTCATGTGGCTCAGTTGGTTGAGCGTTGTCCTATTCACTGAAAGGTCTCAGGTTTGATTCCAGGGCACATACCCCAGTTGTGCCCTCTCTCTCTCTCTCAAATCAAAATACATTTTAAAAAAAAAAAATTCTGACAGCAGTAGTAACCTGCAAATGGCAAAGCAGAACTAAGAATCCAGGTCTGCAACCTCTACTGCTTCTTCCACAACAGCATGCTTACCTTCCTCTCCCATTCTCTCATCTCTTAACTCTCCCCAGGGAGTTATTTCCGTATAACACCCCCAGAGACATTCCTAAATCCACCCTAGCATACTATTTATTACACCCACCGTCCAGCACAAAATGACTGCCTAAAAATAAAAGATCCCAGTTAAAGTTTTGTTTTGTTTTTCCTAAAAAAGAACGGGAAACTTGGTAAAAATCTGACAAACCTAAGTCTAAAAGAGTTAAAAAAAAAAAAAAAGGCAGGTTTTAACATATTAGAATTTTCCATCCTTGGTGGAAGATACACAAAGAAATGAAGTCGAAGCAAAAATGCTCTTACCACTGAGGCTCAATTTGCTAAAATCAGCAATCTAAAATTCAAACTGAAAACCAAAGGGCAAAAAATGCCAAATACAGGTAGCATACTATAAGCCATTCACAAAATGGTAAGAAAACATTATTTCCACAGTCCATACCCTTTACTTACAACAACAAAACACTATTTACGACCTTCTATGAAAATGAAGAAATTTTATACCGACTGCTTACATGTAAATAAACCCAGAGTCATCACTCAGAACTGTCATGATCTAATGGTGATTGCCAGAGCACTCTGTCTACTGCTGTCATTTCTAACTGTCTATAAATATGCACTGTGATAGGAATGTATCCTTCTAGGTGTCTGGCTCACGTTTCCCTCTTACTGAGTTTCCTAAGTTCAACTCTCAGAGTGAATGCTTAGCTGTCCTAATGTATTTTCTACATGTATTGTCTACATGTAGAGAATCTCTACATGTACCCATCTCTACATGTATTCAGCTGTGCTCCCTACTTTAATGAAACCAGATTTCATAATTCTGTTGTCTTACCAACATCAAAAAAAAAAAAATGTTATTCATGATAGTAAATGTAGCAGGTAAGGCACATCTATGGCTTATTAAGACTGATCACTGCTTTAAAGACTCCATTAGAACTAGTTTGATACTATTTTCACAAAGTAAAATAAGTCAAAATCATTATATTTAAAAAGTTAATCAAATCCTAATGAAAGATTAACTAAAATCTAAGAAATATTAAAAATAACATAATTTATATAATCAGACTCGATTTCTAATATGCTGAGTTGAAAGAGTAGATAGTATTCATTTTAAAAAAATGCATATATTTACAGTGTCTTTTTCATCCCCATATGTCTTCATATCCCCCAAACTATCTTTTAAAAATATGAATAAAAAATTCTGGAAAACTGTCAAGTTGATGACAAATAAAACTGAAAGTCAAATATTAAGGAGAAAGATTTAGAAAAGATAATATATATCCAAAATCTAAATTGTTGATTGAGGAGATTTGATGGTAGAATATAACACTAAAGTTTTAACTTTGTTCAACTCCCTTTAATAGAATCAACATCAGACGTTTGAGCTCAGAAACACTGTTCATCTTCCAAAACATTCACCTTGTTTGTTTTTGATCAGCTGGAATTTTTCTTCTTGCTCAGCCCAGATCCTGTCCATTCTCACTGAATGCTTGTTGGGAACATAGTCTACAAACCTCTGCTAACAGGCAAGCTCAGCACAAAATGCCGCTATGCCTTGAAGAGAACGGTAACATTTGGTTGCCCAGGACACAGACTGATGAGAATTGCCTAGAAAACTATGATGTAAACAATGCCCACTAATGACAGAAAACTCACCCAAGAGGCAGTTATGAAGAGTCGGGGTAAAGCATCCTAACTTTATCCAAAGATTGACTTCACCAAGTTTCTACCTACCCACACAACTCCATAAAGCACTCTAAATGTCTGTTAAAATGCTTCCTCAGACCAAGGCTAGTGGTTTTGCTACTAACTTGATTTTAAAAAGTAAATGGAAACAGTTTACATTATTATAATGTCCTCTGTTAAAGATAAGCTCTCTTGGCATATGGTTGATAGATAAAATACTATGTTATGCACGTGAAATTCAAGACATGTATACACTGTCTGTGTACGCTTCAGTTCTGCATGACCCCACAATTCAAACTACAGTGGCATCTGATTATCATGAGGCGTGGACTCAGCACTTTGGCAGGGAATGAACTCTGACACAAAGCACCAGTGTCTTCAGTTACCAGCATATCTAATGTCAGGGAAGAACAGTTGGAAGCATTCTTAAGAGTCAAACAGAAGAACTTACAAAACCACTAATCACTACTATTCTCTCTCCTTTTTTTAAAGTTAAAGGAACAAAAGAATGAACTTGTGATTATGTTTTTGACCTGGGTTTAAAGTTTATTCTGCAAATAAGCATAAACACATTCTCAGGACAAATAAAAAACTGTGAAAGAATAAATCCTTTTTTACGCAGGGAGGAAAAACATTTTAGGGGGAATACCTATCTCTAATTATACATTTAAAAGTTTTAAAGCAGAATGAAGAAGAACTGAGAGATTTAGAGTAAGACAAAACTAAATGAAATCCTCTCTCAGTTGTGCAGTTAAGGGCAAGTGCCTGCCATGAAACCACACTAGAAAAACTAGAATGATTTTAATCAAATAAATAGATCTGGAGAATTTATGTTGAAATCTTGGTAGTAATAAGACTGAGTGTGATGACATAAATAATGACTCCACTTTTTTCTTTTTTTTTAAGCCAGTTTATCTTTTCCACTTACTCCCTAACAATTTCCATCAAATCCGGAACAGAATTCTTACCAGGACTATGAGGCCGCCACCTCTCTCCATCCCTTCTTGATCCAGCTAGTCGCCAACCTCCATCTTCATCTTCTCCATTTTGTTCCTCTCTAAAAATACGCCAATTGTCACTTTCTGATCGTATAAATTCATGCTTTCTCCCCACCAATGTTGGTCCACCTTCCTCAAAATTTGGTCTTCCTGTAAAGAAAATGAGAAACATGAGCCTCAGCCAGTGAGAATTCTGAAAACAGACTTGACTGCTCATATCAAGCTTTTCTGTAATTGTGTCCATTTCAATGTTCGGGTAGTATAAATAAAATAACTGTGGACATAAGCACAGATTATTAGACACATTTCTCTTTTTTTAAATTATTTTTCCTGTTTTTACTTATTTTTTAATATTTTTTCTTTATTGGTTTTATAGAGAGAGGAAGGGAGAAACAGAAACATCAATGAGAGAGACATCGACTGGCCACCTCCTGCATGCCTCCCACTGGGGATCGGGCCCACAACGGGGCATGTGCCCTGACCAGGAATCAAACCAGCAACCTCTTGGTGCATGGGTCGACGCTCAACCACTGAGCCACACCGGAAGATCTGATACATTTCTTAAGGCTGAACATTCGTAGACAGGGCAAGTTTTTTTTTTTTAAATAATGCATGCATTTAAAAAAAGGGCACGCAGTGAAAAGTAAATCAACCTGCCCCCTACACAAGATCCCCAGTCTTTTCTCCGGAAGTAACCACCATCAACAGTTTCGTATAAAGCCTTCCCCAAACTGTCCACGGCTATATTTGTTCATGTATATACAGAATCCCTCACTGACACTCTTACCACCATCCTCAGAATGTTATACATGTTGTTTTGTACCCTTGCTGTTTGCACTTAACCATGCATCTTGGCAATCCTTCCTTAACAAGTACATAGTTGTTGTTTTATACGTCACACGGTATTTTTATTATTTGCTATTTCTTTTTCTTAAAGATTTATACATGTTTTTATTGATCTTTTTAGAGAAAGAGATAGAAACATCGATGTGAGAGAGAAACATCAATCAGCTGCCTCCTGCGTGCCCCCAACCAGGAACTGAGCCTGAAACCCGGGCATGTGCCCTGATCAGGAATCGAACTGGGACCTCTCAGTCCATGGGACGACACTCAATCCTTTGAGCCACACAAGCTTGGATGCTATATTTTAATTTAATCAACTTCTACTGGTGGTTCTGCCCAAATCTGTAAATTTCAATCTCTCTTTTACTCCAAAATAGATTGTAAATGCAAAAGAAGATACTGTGAGCTATAATATTTCATTCAGTCTAGCATCTAGTACATTACAGGCATATAACAAATTGCTTTTGAACAGAATTCAAAGATAAGCTGTGTCTAACCTGGTACAATTCAAGAGCTACATGAGTAGTAAAAGATGATCTGGTACACCAAGTAAACTCACTTGGTACTTTCAAAGGACAAGATAATTCTAAATGATGCAAACAAATTATTGTTATTTTTTTTCTTTATTGCCCTGGCTGGTTTGGCTCAGCAGTAGAACGTCATCCCGTGGACCAATGAGTCCCGGGTTCGATTCCAGCCAAGGGCACGTACCTAGGTTGCAGTTCATCCTAAGCCCTGGTCAGGGTTGTGCAGGAGGCAACCAGTCGATGTGTCCCTCTCACATCGATGTTTCTCTCTAGCTCCCTTTCTCTCCCTCTCTCTCTCTACCTGAAGGTAAATAGAAAATATCCTCTGGTGAGGATACAAAAAATAAATAAAAATATGTTTTTTCTTTATTGATTTTTAGAGAGAGAGGAAAGGAGAGGGAGGGAGAGACAGAAACATCGATGAGAGAGATGATCAACTGGTTGTGTCCTGCATGCCCCGCAGTGGGGATCTGGCCCACAACCTGGGCATGTGTCCTGACCAGGAATCGAACTGACAACCTCTTGGTACGTGGGTAGATATTCAACACTGAGCCACACCAGCCGGGTGTGAACAAATTCTTTAGTCACCATCACACATGTGCTAATATATATTTTATAACAGATTACATAAAATCTCACATTCAAGTAGTTGAAAATCCAGAACATACAACAATGTCCTCTGTTTATAACAATAAAAGTTCCATATTCTCTCAATGACAATTTTCATTAAGTCATACTAAAAGTGGAAAAAGAACTGTATACTGGACTTGAAAAATGAGGAAATTTTAGTTTTTGGTCATCCTCTTATAGTCCATTTGCATTAAGATTCAACATCTTGTTTGCCCAAATGGTTGTTAGGTTTTTATCAGAAATTATTCTTAAAGAATTAAGATCATTTTAAAAGATAAAATAACTTGGAATTGGGGGTGCAATTATTTGCTGAGTAATACACTACCTGCTTTCTTATTATGGTAGGCAGCCTCTAACACAGCCCCCAATAACCCTGCCTTCTGGCCTGTGTGTAATCCCCTCACCGGAAGTATGGGCTGGACTTGCCCTAAGAAACAGAATATAGCAGAAGTGATGAGATGCCACTCCCAATATTAAGTTAAAAACAATTGTGACTTCCATCTTGGATACTCTCTCTGAGGGCATCCAGCTGCCCTGTCATGAGACAGCCCTGTGGAGAAGCCCACCTGGCAAAGAACAGAGGCTCTGCCCGCAGCCCTGGAGTGAGCAGGAAAGTGGTGCGCCCTAGTTGAACCTTGAGATAACTGCAGCCCTGGCTGACAATATGACTGCAGACCCAGACCAGAACCACCTGGCTGAGCTGCTCCGTCCTTTGAGGTAACTTGTTACACAGCCATAGATAATAAAAACACTCATTTAAACTGATTCACTCTTCAGAACAATTCTCAGTATTAGAAATTATTTTCCCATTTTATAGCTGAAATACAAAGGCTTTTGATCAAAAGTTAACCCAGAATTGTCCAAAGTCACACACCACTGTTTAAATGGCACAGACAGGATTCAAAAGTTAATCTTTTCAGTTCAATAAATACTTATTGCACTCTAGGTGCCAAGTTTTATAAAGTCAAGTGAAGACATTTTCTGTATGTCTGCACTTGGGTTAGAAGGGCTAGAAGACCTTGCAGACTCTCTTGCTCTGAATTAAGAGGAGATAGTCCATCTTACAAGGCACCACATCAATTATATGACTTGATAAAGAATGTAGGGACAGCCCAGCTGGTGTGACTCAGTGGCTGAGCATTGACCCATGCACCAGGAGGTCACCAGTTCAATTCCCGGTCAGGGTACATGTTGTGGGCCAGATTCCCAGTGGAGGGCATGCAAGAGGTGGCCAATCAATGATCTCTCTCCCTCTCCCTTCCTCTCTAAAATCAATAAAGAACAAAATATTCTTTTTAAAGAAAAGAATGTAGGGACACTAAAAGAGGAACAAATCTAAAACAAAGAAATCCCTAGTGTGTATAGGCTGACAAAAGATGGAAAATGAATTTTAACCCATGTAATTATTCAGTCACTAGTATGTGCCCAGCACTGTATGATGACTTGGGAACATAGTGGTAATCACGTGATGGATGAGCTGCCAGTCAAACCACTCATTTTCATCTACTTTTACATTAAGCTTTTGAAAATGTAATGAAGGTACCAAAGTAAACAAAATTGCACTAATGACAAAATGCTTAACTCACCAAAAATTGATCATTTTAATTTTTTTCTAAAAGATTATAAACTGCAAAAAAGTCAAGTTATTAAAAATACTAGTAATCCTTCAATCTAGAAATAGAATTCTATCTGTGGTTAGCTTTTACATAACTTTATATTTTTATGTAGTTGCAATCAGTATACACCTACTATTTTGTAATCTACTTTTCATCGAGGATAGCAAATTCTTCTCTGTGATTAAGCATCTTCCTAATACTACAAATGGGTACATACAAGGTATACCTTGCTGCTGTAGCACAATCCACCGGATTCCCCACAATGGACATTTACTTTATAACTAATTTTTTGAGAACTACAGATAACAAGGTAAGAAATATCTGCGTATATGTGTGTTTTCTTTTAATTATTATAGTTCTTTTTAATGATTTTTAGAAAGAGGAGGAGAGAGAGAGAAACACTGATCGGCTGCCTCCCATATGCGCTCCAACTGGGGATAGAAGCCGCAAACTTTTGGTATACAGGATAATGCTCCAACCAACTGGGCCACCCAGCTAGGGCCTGTGTGTACATGTGTTTTGCTTTTTTGAACTATTCCTTCTTCAAAGACTAAAAATGAAATTACTAGGTCAAATGACAGACTTCATATAGGACATACACCCCCCAAAAGAAGGTCAAACCTTTAAGATTTTTTACTATTTTAATAGTTGTAAAATGGTATACTAAATGTGGCTCAAATATAAATTTCTCATAACAAAGATTTCTCATATTGATTACTGACTTTATTTCCTTTTATGTGAATTGTTTGCACTTTTTTCTAAACTAACAGCTTCTTTACCTTTGTAACTAACTGTCAAGTCCTACATATACTTTTCAGATTAGTATCTAGAAATAAGAAAAATATGAAGACAGAACAGGGAAACTACAGAAAGAAAATATTTAGCCTTTCTACTTACTGTAAACAATCTTGTAATTTTCAGCATGTTGGGAAAACCTGTACCACATAAAGTTCGAATAACTTTATGCCATTTCTTGTTCCAAAAAGGATTTGAGACAGAAAATTTGAAGATAAAGAAGAGCACAAAGGAGTTCAGATTTTGTTACTGAGTGCCTGTTACCACAAAATAATTCCTAAAAACAGCATTACACTTTTGGGCTTATCAAATGTTGTATAGTGAATAACAGCAATAGAAAAATCTAGGTGACAACTTTTCTGGTGTAAACCAAGAAAAACCAGAATAACATAATTATGATACGCCAAACCTATTCCATATGTAAGTGCAAGGTAAGTGGAATTCTGCCTTCAGAAGTCACTGTCACTTTCAAAAGAGAAGGATGAAAAAGATTCAAGAACTTTTAAATAGACTCTACTTATCTCCTCCCCTTACCTTTAAAAAAAACTTATTAAAGTATAACATTATTTTTTTATTGATTGATTTTAGAGAGCGAGAGTGAGAGAGAGAAACATCGATGAGAGAGAATATCTATTGGCTGTCTCCTACATGCCCCTCACTGGAGATTTAGCCCACAACCTGGGCATGTGCCCTGACCGGGAAGTGAACCGGCGAACTCCTGGTGAATGGGTCGACATTC